TTTATCGCAAGTCAGAACTTCCTTACTATTGACACATATTTCGGTTTTCTTTATAAATTAGCATTGTTCATCTAAATGCGGGCATGTGTAGTTGCGTAAGTGTCATTTAACGTTGTCATCCGATAAGAGATAACGTTCCCACCTGAACACTGGTTGCACTTCTATCAGATTTTACACAGCGGTATCTGATCTTAATCTGATGCACTGGCGTTCAGGTGTTGCCAACCATAGTTAAAAGTAATGTACAGAAGTTGTTTAGGAACTCGTAAAAGACTTAATACTTTAAAGTTTGTAGTCTAAACTTGGGTCTAATTTGAGGGCAGCTTGTATGTTAGATGACGTTGATGACGCTCACGGGACATTGACGAAGTGATTGTCAAAAACAGAAGAAGAAATTGGACCGTTGGATGACAGATCAGATCAGAGAAAGGATATGCCCGAAAGTAAATTGAGTCATTATCTATCGAAATGGCACAACTTTCTCAGCATATAGAGATAATGTTATATCGCGATTTTGGAAACTATCTAGAAGTCTACATAAAAAATTAATTTTAAAATTAACTTGAAATCTAGTCGAGATTTGATTAATCAAAGCAGTGCAATACCGATGTTTTGTAATCATCGGAAGCCGGGGGTGGCTTGCCATATCGCCAGTTAGCGCTATCAGTACAACCTAACTGTGTAGCAGTTCATCGGAAAACCAATCTATCTAGGAAGCCTTACGAACGAGATTCATCGCCACTCAATTTGGGATAGACAATACAATCACACGAATTTCCAATAACCTTCTATGGATGCACTGCTTAATGTAATTTTGGTTTATCACAGAAACTTGCAATCAAAAACACTTAGTTTTCTATCAAACATGAAATATTAATTTCAGATTCCATGAAAATTCGGTAGCCATGGAAATTTTCATCCCTTATTTTAGACCAAGCTGTGTCTAAATATATAAAAGGAGAAAGTGACTGACTGACATATCAACGCACAGCCTAAAACGGCTAAACGTAGGCACTTGAAATTTGGAAGGGACGTAGCTTAGGTGCCGTAGAGGTGCACTAAGAAAGAAAAATTCCCGAAATTCCCACGGGAACGGGAATTAGCGGGAAAAAACATTTGTATGAAAAAACCTAAACCGCGTAAGATGAAGGGGTAAAACGGGATACACGCGTACGAAGTCGCGGGCGGCCGCTAGTTTGTCTATAAAATGTAGCTAGCGTAGCCTGAGTCTTCTCATTAATAGACTCTCAAAATAGATTAATTTACCTCTGTGTGAAAATTCTTCAAACTCTTTCATCAGACAGACAGTTTTGCAGTTATAATGTAAGTGTGGATATCGTTTATAATTTTATTACCCCTTTCAGTATCGAGTTTGATAAAATTAACGGTTCGTGCCATGTTTTACTGCCGTGATTGTTTGACACGAGTCTTTTTAACCAATTACAGCAGTTAAAATGATATATTGGTGTCCGAGACGTAACTTATCATTAGCGAGCTGTTAATTATTTTTTATTTTTCAAATTACGCCTATTAGGTACAAGACATTTCGAGTTCCTTACCTAATGCAAACCAAACCTTTTTTGTGTTGGCCCAAGGTTAAGTTTTGGCCAAAACAGATCCACTTTAACTTTATATGATAAAGGTTCCTATCAAAGTGAATGGAATTGCTGAAGCTGTTAATATCCTAATTTAGGTATAGGTACATTAATTATCTCGAGGATGTTATTTGTATCAAAATATTAGCAAGTAATTGATTCCGCTAACGTATTACTATTTAGCTAATAAGGAAAGTTCATCCAAGAATCCCAATTAGTGCTTCCTTTGAACAAGTTATTCTAAGACCCTTATGGTAAATGAAATAACTGTTTAACCAGACGGAAAAATTGGAGTGTCTGTATCCCAGATATTGTATGTACATAAATCAAATCAATTTCCACTTCAAAGGTTGCAAGATACAGAATGCATATGCGCGCAATGCCAATATTGGAACTTCTACACATAGTTTGTAGTATATCAAAAAGGTATGGCATACTCAAACGCGAAGCTAAATTCAATTTAAATTGTAACAAGTAGGTATTGGAACCAAGATACGATGTGCGATAAGATATCTGCGAGCTTCTGGAAATATTATTACATATTTTAAAAAAGCTTCCTGAAACTTTTAAAGCTTTCTAATATTACGTCTACCATGAATACTTTGCACAATATTTTAATTCAATCAAGTGCCTTTTTCCTTTGATGCGGATTTCCACGTGCGTTAAAAAAAACATGTAATAAATAATGAAATGCGGGCAACCTGCAAGCGGGGGGGCTACTCCGAAAGAAGTGATTCAAAGTTCCGAATGTTGCCATTCCTCTCACGCATAGCGACATGAGCGACGGTAACAGATAGACCCGAAACTTCGGAATAGTCCCCCAGATCCGCACGCGTGCCGAAATCCGCATCATAGGAAAAAGGCACCAACAGAACTTGCGTTTGTTTCTATGTGCTTTGAAAGTGGTATCATTATGAGTTGTGTTGCCATAATATTGCCCAACGGTGTTGCTAGGTGCTTTTGCATCAACATTTAAGACGTGATATCCCTTCGGTAATGATTATTAATAGAGTGGCCAATTACGGAAATAACTTGTACAGTCACGTATTATGTGTTGGTTGGCAACGTTTGATATACGCAGTTAACGTTTGATATCTTTGTAAGGTTCTTATTATGGAGTAGGGTAGCAATCTCGTTATATGCCGGAAAAGGTGATTAATTTTTGTTTTCGGTAGACACAAATTGTCGTGTACTCTTAAATAAGGACTTGCTATATGGAACAAACAACCAATAAGTTAATTGAAACTTGGCAAATTAATAAATGATAATTATTCTAGACTTTTTTTTCAAGTGATAAATTCTAATTTATAAGGAATTTATTTAAATGAGGAGTAATGCGCTAATGAATTTGGACTATTATTCAGTTTTTAATTCGAAAAAGTATCGTTTTGGCCAATAACTACCAACTTTCTACATTTTTCATGTTACTGTCTCGAATTAAATAAATTCATTAGAATTTTTTGCAAAAAATGTTTCGTGCGATGTTTCGTAGGCAGGTGGAGACTAATGTTCTCGGTTGGTGTGGAATTTCATGTACAGATCACATCAACCAGATACTTTAGCATCTAATGTAGTTGAAATAGGTGTTATTTTACAACGAAGATGTACAGCTTGATGTGCTATCGGCTGCACATCTACAAATGAATTGGGGATATGTCTTGCGATTGCGACAGGCGATGATGGATAGCGATTGTGATCGATAACGAGATACCTAGTTCTAATGTCCTTTCAGATTCCCGCTGCATTTGTTTGATTCTTTGTTAATATCTTTTTTAGGAGGTCTTTTTTATCTGTTTTGAGTTTGCTACGATTTACGGTGAATTTACAAAGTGCCTTGCTAAAATACTACAATGATAAAAAAAAGTGATTCACAAAAGCAGTCAACTAATGAATCGAATGGGTCCATATTGGCTCACCTAAAGTTATTTACCCGAAATTGTTCTTCCTAACGATTTTAAATCCGAATGATCACTCTTCCTAAAATTTTTCCTCCTAAAGTTTTCATTCATACTATTTGTAGTGCTACCGGCGATGTTCATAACACTCATGTTTCCGAAAATTTTAATTAATAATATCATTTATGTAAATATATTTAAACTCCTACTGTTTTTTATCATAACACTTTTATCCCTAAACATTACCATAATATTTTCACTCATACCATAGAATAATAATAAATACTACGTACAGAAGTACGTTCTTCGCGAATAAAACGTAAGGCCACAGTTCTAACCTAACCTAAACCAATAATAATGAATAGACCGATTCGTTTCTGGAACTTGACTGAATGACTGGAGCGGGACTCTGGCTTCGCTCGCTCGGCTCGTGCGTTGTGGTCACAGTTCTAACCTAACCTAAACCAATAATTATGAATAGGACCGATTCGTTTCTGGAACTTGACTGAATGACTGGAGCGGGACTCTGGCTTCGCTCGCTCGGCTGGTGCGTTGTGGTCACAGTTCTAACCTAACCTAAACCAATAATTATGAATAGGACCGATTCGTTTCTGGAACTTGACTGAATGAATGGAGCGGGACTTAAGTATACGTGCTAATGCCAACAAACTTGAACTTTAATATATTGTTAGAGAAAGAAATCTAAACAAAAAAGATATGACTTTGAATAATAGTGTAAAATAATGGTTATGTTTAGAAAATCTAGGAGAACAAATAAAAGTGTAATAGATGTTTATTGCTAATGACATTATGAAGTTGAATGATTCGGAATTATGAACATTAGAGATAGAGTAGTTAGGAATTGTGATTGTTAGGATGAAAAATTTTAGGAAGAACATTTTCGGACTTCCAATTTTCGGAGTTGAAAATTTAGGTGAACTTTGGCGCACCCGAATCGAATATTTTACTTTGTCTAAGCGAGTGTCTTCATTGGAGATTCAATACAACGAACTAGACCAGACTGATTGGCTGTTTAGGCGGTGTTATGAAATTAACACTAAATAATAGATTCGCGTCTGTTACTGGCAAGCAATTTCCCCCCAAGCCCCAACCAATCACATACTTGATATGTATTAGCCTTAATTTAAATCGGTTTGAATGATACCTATAATGTCGAATGGGTTTAGGTTCTTAATAACGAGTTGTCTGATTAAGGCCCGGTTTCCACCAAAGCGGAGCAGGCAGAGAACTGTGTTGGTTGAATAACCAATCAGATTTCATTATTTCCACTTCTCGTTTTCGCTCCGCACAGCGCCGCGCTGCCGCCGCTGTCAAATTCTATAGAAAAATTTGACGGCCCGACACTTATCCACTCCGCTCTGCCTTGGTGAGAACCGGGCCTCAATCAGGGGTGCTCTCAACACTGTCCAAGCAGTCCAGACCTCGCTGTTCTTAGCTGAAAGGGTGCTTACCAAGAATTCTTACTAAATCTCCTTTCTCCTTCTTCCAGGTGGAAAGGTACGCGTTCGAAGACCACACGCCGCCCAACATGGAGCTGATCCAGCCGTTCTGCGAGGACGTGCACAAGTGGCTCAACGAAGACCCCAGGAACGTGGCCGCCGTACATTGTAAAGCTGGGAAGGGGAGGACTGGTAAGACCTTCACAGGAATATTAATCATCAGGTCATTTCTCCACTAAAGGAGTACGACCTTTAATTTAACAGAGGCTTATGAAGTTTAGCCTATACTCCCGTCGCTGACCAGACGCTAGACGGTTTGGGGAGGCAGGAATAGGTATCATTAGACCTGTGGGAATCTGGTCAGAAGAATGACTTGACTTGGATATCAACTGATACTGATGGCCCCAGATTACATCAAATCCGATTTATCCGATATCATTAATCAGTTTCATACAGCCTACTCAGTAAAAAGACCCATTGAAGTATATTAATTATGCTTTACATTTTTATTTCACTGTAAAGCTGTTTTTTTTTATTTTGGCGATTTTTATAGCAGAAATCTTTGAACAGTCAGTTTATCCTTTTGGCGATAACTGATATTTACTGGAATAAAAAAGAGTAAAGGTGCTACGTGACAGTTGTCAGGCAGATGGTATTTTATTGCGCTATTATTGTTGGAAAGCCATCTTGTAGATATGTAGTATAAAATTTCGTTTGTTCGTTTGAAGTAAAGTAAGCTTTAAGCACGTTATCAAGCTTTCGGCCTTAAAAAAGGTTATATTGGACCTAAGCCCATAAAACAGTTCCGGTTTTTACACTTGCCAAGTGCTAAGGAGACCCTAATAGTGAACCGATTTCGATGTATTCGGCATTCGAAATCTACACAGGCAAAATCCTCGGCAAAGAATAGTTCGACGATCGTCACAATACTCTTCTAGGTATGAACCACATAAGGTATGAATAAAATTATCTATAGTCAAGGTCTTTAAATGCTTTTCCATTGTGCCGTACGGTTCTGTTATGTCTTTGCCGTACACACATCAAAAGAATATTAAATAAGTTGCTCTGTATCAATATGTCGATCGTGAAATTTAACATAAAGGTCTTAGGGCGTACGTAACAAAGGTTAAGGTTGCATATTACACGCGCTGCCTTATTGCCTTTGACAGCGTCCATTGTCGCGCAAACAAAAAGGGCCCCAAACCCGAAAGTCGTAATTGCGAAATTTCTTTACGACGCATAATTGGTCGCATTACCATCGCCCGCTTTCACGCCAAAGTCGTAAATTTGGAAAAAAAAGACCTTTTCAAAGCGACTTTTTGTGGGCAGCCCTGAAGGGATATAAAAATAGGGTTGCGGTATGGAGGCCGAATCTAAAAAACGAGCGATTCTGCAAAACAGAAAGGGCCGATCGTTTCCTCCATAAAATTTCATATCCGTTAATTTTACATTCACTTTTTTTGTGACGAAAAAGGAAGTGGAATTGAACAAGCGTGTTTAATATCTTCATCAGGGAACATTCGTTTATTTGGCTGAGCATCCATATTTATGTCGACTAACAGCGTGCGGTATCTGCATTGAGATGTTTCTTTTTTACAAACTTCATATAAGTTGTTCTTTTTATAATAATATTAGTCGTGTTTTGTTTTGACCTATAGCCCTACGGCTTGATGAATTTTGATGTGATACATAGTTGTTTTCTTACTTTTTCGTATTATTTCATCTGTTAATACCCTGATGACAGTCTTTATGTGATGTCCGATATATCGCACCGAAAACACACCTAATTATTATGCTTGTTATCAATCAGAATATGATATGACTTGAGTCAATTTTCATACAAGAAGTTTGGATAAACAAACTTTATTTCTATTTATTGAAAGGTCAAAAGATCACTTTTTTGTTCAATTATAACTTACAATGACATCAATTGACATGCGACATGACGATTGCCATAATGTGTGGGCGATTTGTTTGACCACAATTTAGAGTAATTTCAGCTAATGACTCCATCTTATACGATGATACAAGTCATCAACTTGTTAGTAACGTGAGCTCTCAAGTTGATTCTCGCTGGTAAAGACGTGTCATTAAATATCTCTCCTAATTGTAAACTCGGTATCTATCCCAATTTCTTTCAGTTGACATAAATATGTGTGTAAATGTTCAGTTGATTATACAACAAATTAGCTCTTATAACAATAGTAAAAGAGAAAAGAAGCCATCTCATCTGTCGTCTGAACACTGAATCACTGAATCCATTGCTGCGGCAATACAAATTACTGTAACATATGTCCATAAGAGCTAGTGGAGGACTTGGAGGTATAAAGTTGATTCAGATCGAATGTAATGAACTACACTACTGTGCATAATCATAGGCTCGGCTTCCACCAAAGCAGAACGAAGTGTTGATGTGGAAATAACGAAATCTGATTCGTTATTCGAACATATCTCCTATTTATTCCCTTTAGTGGAAACCGGGCTTTAGCGTCCCCGCAGACTTCACTTTTTATCGGCTGATAGTTTTGTCGGGCTGTTAAACATGGTATGAAAGTGCGTACATTAGACCGATTTGTTATCGGTCGATTTCTAATACAATTTCGAAACCGACCTAACTATTGGCCGACAAATAGTCTGCAGTCTTTGAGCAGGGCCGGATTAACCATCTCGGGGCCCCTAGGCACAGCTCGTTTTGGGCCCCCTTTTTTTTGTCGCGGAGGAAGTGCTTTGCGCACCGTCACCACTGCCGGGGGACAGGGTGGTGTGTGGGACTCCCGGCGCCCTAAAAAGGACGGGGTATACCCACTAAAACCTCCGCGGCGTTCCGTCGTAGCCCGAGTGGGGGTGTCGCGACTTCGCGAGTATCCGGCCGTAGCCTTAGACTTCCGCGACACCACGCTACAGCGACAGCTCGCCTACACGGCGGACCCTACACGCCCCACTTGTGGGGGTCCGACGGGAATGCCCGAAACGCCAAGCCGTTCCCGTCAGACGAAGGTGACAAGGGTGCCCCCGCACCCCCGGCCTGCTGGCCGCCACCTGGGGGCAGAGTAGAACAGTCGTACAACCGCCTTCTCCGGCCCCTTCTCCGCCTGCGGAGCGATGGGGCGAGAGGATCGTTCTCCTGCTCGCGCACCGCTGCCTCCTTCTGAACGATGACCTCTTCGCAAAAGGAGGCGACCACCTTCCAACATCCTTCACTTCCCAGCATGGCGATGACCAGGCTCGGAAGCGAAAGATCCCGGCCCACGACCGCAGTGAGGACACGGCGCTGCTCCTCCCAGCCTGTGCAGACCGCGAGGGTGTGCACCGTGTCATCCGCCGCTCCACATTTGTGGCATACGGGCATTTCTTCCCGCCCGATTCTTTGCAGGTACGAACCGAAGCAGCCATGCCCGGTCAGCACCTGCGCCAGACGGAACGTGAGGACCCCGTGCGGTCGTTCCAACCATTGGTCCAGAACAGGACCAATGGCGGCCAAAATGCGCGCGAGTCATGTCTTCGTGACGGCGCCGCATCGCTCCGGGGCCGGGCGCCAGTGAGGACGCACGCCGCAGCGTGCCCTACCGTGCGGTAGGTCCTTGCGACCCTCTGCGCTATGGCCCGCTGGGGACTGCGCAGAAAGGCAGCATTCTACCTCTTGTTGAGTGCGTCCGCCCAGACTGGGGCGCCATACAGCGCCATGCTCCTCAGAACGCCGGCATAAAATCGACGACATCTCGTTTGTGGCCCTCCCAAATTCGGGAGGAGCCAACTCAGTGCGCTGGCTGCCTTGAGGAGGCGTGGCGCTAGCCCGTTGAAGTGCGGGCTAAAATGCCACCTCCCGTCAAGCGTGAGGCCCAGATATTTCATTTGGCCTTTGACGTCAATCCTAATGTCCTCAACGCGTCGGGAGNTTTTTTTGTCGCGGAGGAAATGCTTTGCGCACTATCACCACTGCAGGGGGACAGGGTGGTGTGTGGGACTCCCGGCGCCCTAAAAAGGGAAAAGGACGGGGTATACCCACTAAAACCTCCGCGGCGTTTCGTCGTAGCCCGAGTGGGGGTGTCGCGAGTATCCGGCCGTAGCCTTAGACTTCCGCGACACCACGCTACAGCGACAGCTCGCCTACACGGCGGACCCTACACGCCCCCCTTGTCCGACGGGAATGCCCGAAACACCAAGCCGTTCCCGTCAGACGAAGGTGACAAGGGTGCCCCCGCACCCCCGGCCTGCTGGCCGCCACCTGGGGGCAGAGTAGAACGGTCGTACAACTGCCTTCTCCGGCCCCTTCTCCGCCTGCGGAGCGATGGGGCGAGAGGATCGTTCTCTCGCTCGCGCTCCGCTGCCTCCTTCTGAAGGATCACCTCTTCGCAAAAGGAGGCGACCACCTTCCAGCATCCTTCACTTCCCAGCATGGCGATGACCAGGCTTGGAAGCGAAAGATCCCGGCCCACGACCGCAGTGAGGACACGACGCTGCTTCTCCCAGCCTGTGCAGACCGCGAGGGTGTGCTGCACCGTATCATCCGCCGCGCCACATTTGTGGCACACGGGGATTCCTCTCGCCCGATTCTTTGCAGGTACGAACCGAAGCAGCCATGCCCAGTCAGCACCTGCGCCAGACGGAACGTGAGGAACCCGTGCGGTCGTTCCAACCATTGGTCCAGAACAGGACCAATGGCGGTCAAACTGCGCGCGAGTCATGTCTTCGTGACGGCGCCGCACTGCTCCGGGGCCGGGCGCTTTCCACGCGCCTTGGTCTTGTCTGCCATCCAGTGATAGATGACAGACAAGACCCCAGCTTCTAGCTCCCAAGGAGGAGTACCAGCGAGGACGCACGCCGCAGCGTGCCCTACCGTGCGGTAGGTCCTTGCGACCCTCTGCGCTATGGCCCGCTGGGGTCTGCGCAGAAGGGAGCATTCTCCCTCTTGTTGAGTGCGTTCTCCCAGACTGGGGCGCCATACAGCGCCATGTTCCTCAGAACGCCGGCATAAAGTCGACGACACCTCGTTTGTGGCCCTCCCAAATTCAGGAGGAGCCAACTCAGTGCGCTGGCTGCCTTGAGGAGGCGTGGCGCTAGCCCGTTGAAGTGCGGGCTAAAATGCCACCTCCCGTCAAGCGTGAGGCCCAGATATTTCATTTGGCCTTTGACGTCAATCCTAACGTCCTCAACGCGTCGGGAGGGGCGCGCTGGCGAGGCCCCGGAAAGAAGAGGGCCTCAGTCTTCTCCAGCGCGACTTTCAGACCGAGGCGTTGTATTCTGCGAGCGGCTAATGTGCCGCCCGCCGACGCCAGCCGTGCCGAGGCCCCAAATGTCTTCCCCGGGCAGTGACCAGAGTGTCATCCGTATAGCATGTGACACTCATGCCCGCGAGAAGGACGCCCCGGAGGAGCTAGTTGAAGCCTAGGTTCCACAAGAGTAGACCGAGCACCGAACCCTGCGGAACCCCGCTGGCTATACCGCGCCGTTAGAGCTGGCAGTCTCTGTTAACATACAGGACTTCGCGGTCCCGTAAGTAATCGGCCAGCAGCGCTCAAAGGTACTGAGGCACCCTGTGATGTTGAAGTGCCTAGAGTATAGTGGAATGAGGGATAGTATTGAAAGCGTTGGCTATATTGAATGATACAGCCAACACACCCTCAGCCCTCTCCCTAGCCTCCGCAGTGAGGCTTTTTAGCCTCTGAAGGGCGTCGACCGTCGACCTGTCATGTAAACCAAAGCAGTAATGCCAACGTCACGAAAATTAATTAGGTTCCACAATATCGAAATATTATGACGATTGGATGTGTAAACCAAAATAAGGCGAAGTTTTGAGGTGGTTTGAGTTTTGTTGCATAAAAATAATCTTTAACATTATTTTTTTTTCATTTTTTTATCGGGAGTGCTGGGCCCCTGGTCATAGTGGGCCCCTGGCCATAGTGGGCCCCTAGGCACTGGCCTAAAGTGCCTTATGGATAATACGGCACTGCTGGNACCCTAAGCCCCTCTCCCTAGCCTCCGCAGTGAGGCTTTTTAGCCTCTGAAGGCGTCGACCGTCGACCTGTCATGTAAACCAAAGCAGTAATGCTAACGTCATGAAAATTAATTAGGTTCCACAATATCGAAATATGACGATTGAATGTCGAAGATTTGAGGTGGTTTGAGTTTTGTTGCATTAAAATAATCTTTAATATTTTTTTTTTCATTTTTTTATCGGGAGTGCTGGGCCCTTGGTCATAGTGGGCCCCTGGCCATAGTGGGCCCCTAGGCACTGGCCTAAAGTGCCTTATGGATAATACGGCACTGTCTTTGAGGTATCTTTTAGCCTTTCACATATAATATTACCCTTTATATTCACAAAACCCATGGGTCCTTTTGGCGTGTGCTTAACAATACAACACTTGTATATTGTCGTTCTAGGTACGATGGTGTGTTGTTACCTGCTGTACAGCGGACAGAAGGCGACCGCGGACGAGGCGCTGCAGTTCTACGGCACCAAGCGGGCGCACGACAATAAAGGTATTATTGCAATAGCTGTAAAGACTAGTTTGGCTAACGCTTTCGATCAACAAAGTGTACGTTATACCAGGCCTGTTCATCTCCGCGAGTTTGCATCGAAAACAAAACACGCACGATGGCCCACCTACAGGATACTATTCGACAAGGCCTCACATACGAGCGAACATTGACTCACGCACGCGTATTCTTGTGTATGATGGAAGAAAATAAAGAAAATGGTGTACTAAATACTGTGCAGTATTTAACTGCCTAAATAATAATAAAAACACAGAATGTACTTTTTTAAGTTGCCTCAAGACACTGAGAGGTAAATAAGTATAGTTAATATTATTCATGATAATTCATGCTAAATCATGTATTTCTTCCGCCATTTTCCGCAGTTTGGCACCTCACGTCACATCATTTTACCGAAGTCAGCCCTATAGCTTCGGCGCAGTGCCGATCACTGACGTTTGTCAACAAATGGTGTTTGACTCTTGAGACAGGCTAAATTACACCATATTGTTAATGACATTGAGCATACATTTTTTTAAATACCTTCGCGAAGTAAAACTTCTGTAGGTACGTACTTAGTACTTATTATTATTCTGTGGTTATACCAGAAACTATCTAAAACTCGACTTTTAGAGCTTTTTTATTCACAACGAGGAAGCTCTTGACCTGCATCTCACCTGATGGAAAGTGAGGATCAGGCCCAAGGTGGAAGCGAGCTTCACCCGGAATCCTCAAGCACAAACTAACCTTACCTCCAACTGCCAACAACAACTCATCCATGATAGTTTTTAGCATAATGAACAAACGCCATAACATAAAAGTAACGTTTAGAAGTCCTGAAAAAGGCAAGATTCGTGAAAGCTAACGTTATTTAGTCTTTATCTATACACTAGGTCTCAAATGTAGCGTCCAAAGAAAATTTCAGTAAATGTTATACATAATCAGAAAGATATAACGACAAATGGCGCAGTGGTTGAGAAATCGGCTGCTTTAGAGGTCGTGGGTTCAATCCCCGAACTGCGCACAATTAAAACATTTTGTGTACAAACATTGTATTGATCTGGTTGTTTTCAATGTTATGTATTTACAAAATCTTGATACAGTATCCGTCTAAAATGCAATACGATAACCTTTTTTACGTACTATATTTGGTTGCACACTGACCATTCAATGCTTATTTCTTAACAGTTAATTAGTACAAAATATGGTTATAAGCAATTAATAAGTGCCGATTCTTAGAAATCCATGCGATATTGATTTAAAATACCTTCTTCGAATAATCCAAGTCGTATCTTATAAGTAGTTAAATTGAAAGGGAAAGATATAATAGAGCCAGGGTCGTTTTTCACGCATAATAATGATACAACTTTTTGCCCGTATTGTATTTTCATAGACAAAAGAAGCCTTTTCGGGTTAAAACTACTGTGCTTATTGTTACCTACACACAAGCCCAAATAATATAATGCTCGGAACTGGACAAAAAATAACAAAAGAGCACCAAACAATTGCATAATTGCATCGGTACAGTTAATCGCAGTGCGTATGCAACTTGAGTCTTTAATGCCTCGTCTTACGGAAGAAATACGAGTAAAGGTTTTTTTGGCGAAATGCGACAAACGTAGTGTTATAAACTTATAATCCTTTTGAATAAAGTGAAATAATGGGTCATGTGGTCGTAGCGGGTTTCCCAATTTTTTGTGATTCAACAGTTGACGGTGCTAGCAGACCGAGACGCACTTCATATGATTTATAGTTCATTGTAGTTTCTAATAAGACGCACGACGTTTGAGGAAGATGTAGAGGTTAATTGTTATGTAATCGGCGATTGCTACCGTACAATGTATGTATGTACAATTTTCTTTCTGTTCTTATCTTTGGTGTGCAATAAAGTGTATTTATTATTATTATTATTCCTTTATTCATCTTACTTTCTTATTTTTAATTTTTTCTTTTTACAATGTAATTATTATCAAAAAATAAAAATACATTATAAAAACAAAAATCTTAAAAATAGTTAACCCGCTGGCAGCGGAGCAGGGCCCAGGCTACCGTTGGTCAGGGTCACAGGCTGAGGAACCTCCGGACAATGCGTGCCGTGCTGAGGATCACCGCCTTTTGAATCTTATTATTATTATTATTAATGTATGTTAATTTGTAGGTACCTAAAGTATTTACTGCCACAAGTCTGCCGTATACGTCTAGAGCTTAACTCGGGTATGAAAGCAGCACGGAGGGGTGACTTTGACATATCGTCAGTTGCAGGTTCACTTGGGGTAACTGACAAAATACGATTTTTCAGTAGAGCCGTTTAGTTTCGTCTTAAATCGGACATAACTTTTTTCCTAATAAACCTTTTTTGGATCTGTTTTAGATTAAATAAAAAGAATTATCTAATATATCTTAGTTAAGGAAATAAATTGCTGTTACACCAATGTTTTTTTGTACTTTTGACAGTTACACTAATTTTACACCAAACTTTTGGAAAAAACATAGGTCCAATTGGTGCAAGTACTGCCCAAAGTTAAAATAATTTGATGTATTTGTTGCGTTTTGTTTCGAAAGAGCAGGAAAAACTATATTTAACTCAAAAACAGTATTTTGTCAGTTACCCCAAGTCAGTGGTGACTGAGTTTGTTCCGGCGTTTCTTCTAAGCACTTGCCATATGTTTGTCCCGAAGCGCTGGTAGGGCCCAAAAGATAAGGAGACATGTAAAGTGCCCCATAAGGGCTACCTTTTCTTTTTTTATTATTTTCTATTGACGTTCATAAGTGCCACTTGTGGTCTAAACTGAATAAATATTTTTGATTTTGATTTTGAACCTGCAACTGACGATTATGACGTGACAGAGCATGTGAAGTCTAGCATATGAAGTCTCGCTGACGTGTGACGTTTCAAAAACACCCTCCCGTGCCGCTTTCATATCACAGGCACTGACTTAGTTAAGTCCTAGTAGACTTATAATAATCAAGTATTTATACTTCTGTGGCGACATCTATCGACACACACTTCTATCAATGCGCCCATTTTCCGCTATTCTAAGTCAAAGGTGAATGACTGATTGACATAGTGATCTATCAACGCACAGCCCAAACCACAGGACGGATCGGGCTGAAATTTGGCATGCACGTAGATGTTATGACGAAGGCATCCGCTAAGAAAGGATCTTACGAAACCACCCCTAAGGGGGTAAAACGGGATCCACACATACGAAGTCGCGGGCGGCCGCTAGTTTTGCTTATAAGCGCTTATTTAGGCACAACGCACCCAATGTATTACCTAAACCGCACTTGTGTTAAAAAGGGCTGACAAGTCACAAGGGCGTGTCTCTTAATCTTTTACATAAACAAGCGAGAGGTGTGCGTGATGACGTCAGCATAGGAGGTGTGCGGAGGGCGTGTCAGTGTTTTGTACTTCCGGTTATTGGCGTTACATGGATTGTGTGTTGCCAATGTAAGTTTGTACTTCACTTATTGTTCGTTTAGTGTATCTTCGCGAGGCGGAGGTTCATCGCACTTCCTGATTTAAACTCGTAGTTCACTGTGTTACAAACAGCGCTATGTCTATTGATTTATAAACAATAGACATAGCGCTGTATAAGCCTATAACAGTCTACTGCTGAAAATATGCCTCCATAATACGCGTCATATTACCCCATCTTCGGTTTGGCGCATCCAGCTTTTGCTAGCGACCTTTCTCGCGGTTTTCATTCAAGAACAAGTTTACCTACTTTGCGTTAGTTAAGGCCACTCTCTTTTTAACAGTCGAAAGAGAATAGGGACAGCTGACATTAAGTAAATATGTACTAATTAATCTACTCTATCGCATTGGGGTAACCTGTAATGTTAGAGCTAAGATTGTTATTAAATAAATAAATAAATCAGTTTTGAGCCATTAACCCTTAATCCAGGCTCTGATGGCCAGACAGACAGAGACAGACAGAGCCCACATCAATTTCAACTTTATGCTGTGAAGATACGGTTGGAAACCAATCCTTTTTTGAGCCTGGAAGGGTTAAAGTGATACAAATGTTGGTATTAAAGATATTGGCGCAAATATTTGATACATTGGCTATTCAACTATGGACTCAACAGAACCTGACTTAAACCTTTACCCGGTAGTGGCAGAATTGTTGCCACCATATTTTGAACCCTATTGAGAAAACATAAGGTACAAAACTAATGAAAAATATTTTTCTCTATACCAGTTAAAGGGTTAATGTATTTTTTTTTTACTTTCAGGAGTAACAATCCCGTCGCAGCGGCGGTACGTTGAATACTACGCGGCGCTGGTTCGCTCGGGGCTCCAATACACGGCTACAAGGGTTTACATAAGGGAGCTGGTGATGTGCCCGCCGCCCATGCTGAACGGCGGCCAGTGCACGCTCGAGCTCACAGTGTCGCAGGCGCAGCCGCCCTTCAAGGTGCGTACTGGCTCCAGTCTAGTGCTAGGGCGGCTCTAGTGTAGTGCTAGGGCGGCTCTAGTGTAGTGCTAGGGCGGCTCTAGTGTAGTGCTAGGGCGGCTCTAGTGTAGTGCTAGGGCGGCTCTAGTGTAGTTATAGTGCTCGGGTTCAGTACACGGCTACAAGGGTTTACATAAGGGAGCTGGTGATGTGCCCGCCGCCCATGCTGAACGGCGGCCAGTGCACGCTCGAGCTCACAGTGTCGCAGGCGCAGCCGCCCTTCAAGGTGCGTACTGGCTCCAGTCTAGTGCTAGGGCGGCTCTAGTGTAGTGCTAGGGCGGCTCTAGTGTAGTGCTAGGGCGGCTCTAGTGTAGTGCTAGGGCGGCTCTAGTGTGCTCGGGTTCAGTACACGGCTACAAGAGTGTACAGTCGCGGAATGAAAAAGTTCGTCACCTTAGTGTCGGTTTTCGCTTGCACTAGGTACTGTAAGAGTCAAACCTGCCAACATAACAGTGCAAGAAACAGTGCTGCTAACATTTAAATAAATATGACGTTTGCTAACTAATAAGGTTTTGCTTGTTTAATTTTCTATCCCATGCCCATGCAATGTAACAAAATGTAGTTTTTTTTTATTTAATAGAAATAATAATGGCAGGTTGAACCAACAAGAAGGTTTTAGTTTATCAATCCTAATAATCTTGACAAGATAAATCGTCAAACAACTTTGATCTGAATAATTTTGAACTTTACTGACGAACAGTTAAAGATTATTTTCTCTAACTCGAGATTATTCTGTAACATAGTTTCAAAAGGTAATATGTGCTCGCGATTCGTTGAAGGAATCAATTTGAAAACTGACGAACCTTTTCATTCCGTGACTGTACATCAGGGAGCTGGTGATGTGCCCGCCCATGCGTAATGGCTTCGCGGCGTTTAATAGCTCTGTGTGTTTTAAATAATATGAAGATATTATACTAGGTCCGTGAAATCGTGTCCTAACTTCGCGTGTGCGCCGCTTAACTAGCTCGCGCGTATCATGTCCGTTAAGACGTGTCCTGGCATCGTTCGTGCGTGTACTAGCTCCGCGCTTGTAATAGAAAATGCGTGTGCAAAGGTCCACGCGTAAGTTTCAATGGTTTTAGGCGAGATTTACAGTTCTTTTCTTTTGATATTTCTATTTATAAAAAGAAAAACCTTTGCTGTTAAAACTTTAATATATTTCATATTGATTTGTAGTTTACAGAACATAGATACAGCGTTACTGCCATTTTAATTTTAAAGTTGTAAATGTGTACACTCTTCTATTGAATTTTTAGGTTAAGCAATTGAAATCCCGTATGCCGACTGCGTTAAAACAATCCCATTGCTTCCCCAGACGCCGACCGGCTGCCACGAGGTGCGAAAGCACGCGCGCGCTGTTCGCGTGTGCCTCACGCACTGCACGCCGCTGCACGGCGACGTGCGCGTCGACGTCTACACCAAGCCCAAGATGATGATGCGCAAGGAGAAGCTGTTCCACTTCTGGTTCAATACGTTCTTCCTGGCGGCTGGAGTAGGTGGTACTCAAGTGCCTCCGCCCGCGGATAGTGAGTGGCTTTATTATTTATTTGTTAATAGCTGCACAGCTGTAGATCCTGGGAGTTGCAGCTGTGGGAGTAGTCCCGTACTAGCTGCACCTGGCTTGCGTTGTAATGCCAGATAAATGGCCTGTCGCACTGTATACCAGAGACTGCACTGAGGAGATCCGTAAACGAACCAAAGTCGCTGACATAGCCCGACGTATTAGCAAGCTGAAGTGGCAATGGGCAGAGCACATAGTACGCAGAATTGACGGCCGATGGGGCAGAAAGGTTCTGGAATGGAGGCCGCGTACCGGAAAACGCAGCGTGGGACGTCCACCTACAAGGTGGACCGACGACATCGTAAAGGTAGCAGGGAAGCGCTGGACGCAGGCCGCTACCAATCGATCAACATGGAAAGCATTGGGGGAGGCCTATGTTTAGCAGTGGACGTCCTGTGGCTGAAATGATGATGATGATGACTGTATACCAAGCCAAAGATGATGATGTGCAAGGAGAAGCTGTTCCACTTCTGGTTCAATACGTTCTTCCTGGCGGCTGGAGTAGGTGGTACTCAAGTGCCTTCGCCCGCGGACAGTGAGTCTTTCCCACATTTATTTTCCCACGTTACTAAGTACACAGCTGTAGATCCTGGCTACACAGGAGTTGCAGCAGTGGGAACGAGAGGTGGGAATAGTCCCATACTAGTTGCACCCGGCTTTGTAATACCACATAAAATTGCCTGTCGGACTCGGGCAGTATACAAAGACCAAGATGATGATTCGCAAGGAGGTTTATTTACAGTGGTAATTTAATTGACACCTACATGGTGGACAAACTTATACGATGGTATGGGAACCCTTCGTTTGCGAGTCTTGACTTGAATTAATTGTATTAATGCCTGCATCAATATAATATTGTATTGTAATGTTAATTGCAGAACTCTTATTTGTGAAGGAGAGGCAAGTGAAGTAGTGACCTCCTTTATGTAATCAACGACCGGGTGGATGATTTGGCGAAGATATTGAGTAAACACCACGTGGTCTTGCGGTTGCAGGTCCGAACCAGGAGACGTACAAGCTGACGCTGAATAAGTGGCAGCTGGACGACGCGCACAAAGACAAGCAGCATAAACTCTATAGCCCTGACTTCAAGGTAAATAACACATGCAATAATGTATTTTGAATTTCCATCAGTTGAGAAAGATAGACTGTTTAATTTACTCTTTAGGTAGTTCAAGACTATTTTGATCCTTCTGTAATGTCACCGTTTTGGGGCTGGGGTTGATAATCTTGAGTGGAGATCTCCCCTAACTCTACAAATGTAGTAGGTAGAATGACGTCTTTCAAAAAGTTTCCGGCAAGAGCTGGATGCGGCAAGCCGAAGATGTAAAGGAGAAGGCTTATGTCCCGCAGTGGACTGATTGATGTCATACTCGGTTGTTATTTTTTTCAATGTTTATTATTAATTTGTTATTCCACAAATTACTAATACTCCCGTTAGCACCTCGCCTCGTACTAAGCTAAATATGACCCGCGTTCCCCGGATCGCGAGTCGACCAGTCCGACCCCTTCCCTTCACCTATCTATCTATCGTGGCTTCGAGTTTTCGAGAGTCTTCGTTCTCATAAAGGTAGCGAGAAGGCGCTGGATGCATGCCGCCACCAGCCGGCCATTGTAGAAATCATTGGGGCAGGCCTATGTTCAGCAGTGGACGTCCTGTGGCTGAAATGTCGTTGTTGTTGTTGTTTCACCCAAAAGACGTCCACTGCCTGGACAAAGGCCTCCCCCAAGGATTTCCACAAAGACCGGTTCTGCGTCGCTCGCATCCAGGCACCTCCCGCGACCTTCACCAGATCGTCGGCCCACCTAGTGGGAGGCCTGCCCACGCTACGTCTTCCGGCTCGTGGTCGCCACTCAAGAACTTTCTTGCCCCAGCAGCCATCAGCTCTTCAAGCTATGTGCCCCGCCCACTGCCACTTGATTTTAGCGATTCTGTGGGTTATGTCAAAAGACAATGCCGGAAATTGGCGTCTTTTTTTTTTCGCGCGGCCATCGACCAAACTTTGTTTTTTGATTACAAAATAGTGTAATAAACCAAACTTACTATGACATGTATACCTCTAAACTCAGTCTGAACTGAGTTACAAGCATTAGAAGTTTGATGATTTTCATACTAGATTTGCTTTTTGCGCGCAAAGTTTTGTAAGAAATTGCAACAAAATAGTGAGATTGTATGTGTAAACAAACAATACCATCCATTAAAGGCTCCAGACATCAATATGGAGCAGAATCAGCGCAATAAAAAAATAGCGCAATATTTTGTTGCAATTTCTTACAAAACTTGCGCACAAAAAGCAAATCTAGTATGAAAATCATCAAACTTCTAATGCTCGTAACTCAGTTCAGACTGAGTTTAGAGGTATACATGCCATATTAAGTTTGGTTTATTACACTATTTTGTAATCAAAAAACAAAGTTTGGTCGATGGCCGCGCGAAAAAAAAAAGACGCCACTTTCCATACTAAATCTGGCATTGCCATTTGGCTGAAATGATGATGATAATAATGATAATGTTCGTTGCAGGTGGAGTTGATAGTGCAAAAGCAGCCTTCCTCGTCCACGTTCAGCTCACACCCGCCGCGAGCCGCCTCGCCGCCCTCCTCCTCGGCCTCCGACTGCTCTGAACCAGCTCTCGACGAGCATTGGGACTCCGGTGAGCAAGCCCCGCCCACTAAGCCCCGCCCACAAGCTGGCCCCGCCCACGACGCGTTAGACTTAGACCACAGGACCAAACCCAAGCTAAATACCAAGCTCGCGACCCTCGATCAACAGTGGGACTCCGGTGAGCACCAAGCCCCGCCCACGAGGCCCCGCCCACAAGCTGGCCCCGCCCACGACGCTCTAAACTTAGACCACAGGACCAAACCCAAGCTCGCGACCCGCGACGAGCAGTGTAGCTACAAACGGGACTGTAGGATGCGACTCGTCGACGACCGGTTGAAGGAACTAGTCTATCAGATAAACGACCCGGTCGGCAACCCCGTGTGTAGCAAAAGCGACCCCGCCGCGCTCTGCGGCCATAAGCAGAACTGTAATATAGGGCCGTGTGTGGATTTCGGGGAATTGGCGCATAACAGCCGAACACAATCCCCTACTGAAGCCATGGACAGCGACCGGCCGAATTCGCCCACGAAAGAGCCGATCGAAATGCTCACGGAACCTAGCTATAAGATCGATATAGACAAACACCCTGAATTCTTCCAGGGCGATGTTTTCACGGAAGACGAGTCCTTTAGGCGAACCGTGTTTCAAACCGACCTCGCGTTAGATCAGAATTATATTAGACTAAACAACCCGGCGACTAAGCACCCCTGGGATCCGAACTTCAAGGATGACCACGAGAAATGCAGCGAGGATCACATGTTTTTCGATTTCTCGGGCAACCGTAGCTCTAAAAAAGATTCTAAGCAGAGCCCGGACAAGAAAAATAAGTCGTATATCACAGACCCTAGTTTTAAAAAGAGTAAGTCGCCTAAAAATATGTATAAGTCGTATCAAACGTACCCGGAGCCCGACAGCCAGTCGTCGATGATGCACGACAAATTCGATGGTAAGCTCCAAATGAGCTGTCCATCTGATATGTTCTTGAAAGCCGACAAAACGTTTAGTCCTAACTTCAAAACGGATAGTAAAAACTATATTAAATTCACTTGTATGCCGCCGAATAGGGCGTTAGGTGAATGTAATTTTAAGGCGGGGGAACCGTACAGTCTTCTACCCGATGAGAATAAAGATCAGCCTAGTCCGGATAGCGAGGATTTTAAGCAAGAGTTCAGCGAACAGAACAGAGCATTAATTGAGCCTTGTTGCAAAGCTGATAAGGCTACAATTAAGCCTAACTACAGTCTCGTTCCTCCAGACCAGGCCGAAAACCGCACGTTAAGTAAACCCCGGTTATCTTTAACTGACGTTAGGGCTTCGTGGAAAGAATTTAGCGGAATGTTCTCGGATACTAGGAAAAAAAGGGATAATAAGGAATGATTTATGTTTTACACATAAATATCTCGACAGCAAATACAGATTGTCTAACAAAACATAGCTGGGTCAATACGTAACCTTGCGAAAAAAGGCTTTCTATGAATTTTTGACATCAGATAGTTACAATTCTATTTGATATGTTTTTTGTTTGTTTTTATCATATTATACAGTGCAATTACCCTTGCCTTGTTGTAAATAATCGAGTAATTTATTTTGTTACAATAATTATTACCTAGCCGACGCGTATGATTTTCCATACAAGTCCTAAAAGTTCATTTAATTGCTGTCGGGCTTACTATAGACATATTCGAGCGTTATAAGTAACTTACAATTCTTTTAAGCAAGCGATTGCATATCTTCTAGTTAGTTTGAGTTACAGTTGTTATTAATTTATGTATAGTTTAGTTGTAGGCACAGTCATATAAATAGTGGGGAGGCGTGTTGGTTCGTTGATCTCTGCATCGGTAATGATAGCGTTAGTTGTATGGAACAGAATAATATACTATAGGATATGTTATACGGGGCACTCAGTTATGTGAATCTGAAGGCTGATTTACACATTTACGTATTTAAGTAGGTAACTAAATTTTAACTTTAAGTCTATGTCAAAACGTATTTAAGTTGTCAAGCTCTTGTTTACTATGAAACTGCTTGTCAAGACGTGTCAAGTGACAAGCCCCGCCCATTAACTTATCCGAAAAAATAAGTTATAATTTAGTTAAATACTTAACTACTTAATACGTGCAAATCCGCCTTTATGTTTTCACCATCAATCACAAATTTTTAAGTGACCCCTATGAAAACATTCCTGTTATGTGTACCATATGAGTCATTTCAAAATTTGGGATTGATGGTGAAAACGAGTATAAAAGTACTATGTGTACAGGCTCTAATGACCCTGTTAGGAGCTTTATAAGTCGCCATAGGTGTCTTTTATCTATGGAACACTAATTCCCGTTTTCACCATCAATCCCTAATTTTAAGCGACCCCTATGGTAACACAACAGGAATTTTGTTTTCATAGGGGTCACTTAAAAAATAGGGATTGATGGTGAAAAACGGCATAAGAGGCCGAAATAGGGGCCTTAACATACCCTTGAAATATTAGGAACACGTATCTTTATTTGTATAATCATAAGATCAACGGTTTTCAGTGAAAAATATGGGCGTTTTCGAAAAAAAAATTCGAGTCAAATACAATACAAGGTCGCGTGTATGTTCGTGTATTTTGTTGACTGGTGCGTTCTTATTTTAAGCAATCTTACACGATGGTTCAATTTATTAGGGAACTTAGTTTTGGATTTTGTAGGACCGACCGGAACAGTCTCATATATTTTTTACATGGTTTTAGGTTCTGACGTCTTCTGCGAACTAAGTTAGGTTTTGTCTTAGAACGTTATCATATAATTTTAATAACTGAAAGTTTGTTCGTCCAAGATACAATCTAATTTTAGTTCACAGTGGAAAAACAGTTCCGTTGGCACTTTACGTTCTTGTACGCATAGGGTAGTTGACATTTTTACCTACTGTTTGACTAAAGACATCGATTATTTAAATTAATTTAACACATGTGCCTACTTTTCAATATTTTTATAGATTTTCAACTCAACTCTAGTCTTTTCGTATGGAAATTGCTTGGCTTTATGCTAAGCTGGATTAACGCCCGTATTCACAAACGATGCTTACTTAGGTGAAGCAGAAAATCGAAGGCAAAGCGTTGAATAGAGCTATGCGATTGGTTCGTGTGTCACCCTGTGCGTCCACGCGCACTGTCAGATCTTGTAGCGTCTTACAGTTACAGGATGAGTGCCGACGATGTGTATGGGATAGTTAGTGTACGAAACCAAACCCAATGATAGTCGTAATAACACTGATTTGTTTGTTTCTGAAATGTTTGTGAATACGGGCGTAAGTCATTAACGAAAATAGCGAGAAGCAAAATAATTAGTAACTTTTTTGTAACAATTAGTCGGCCGTTTGGTGTAGTGGTTCAGAACGGACTACTATGCCGAGAGGTCCCGGGTTCGATTCCCGGCCGGGCAGAAATTGAAATGATGAATTTTGATTTCTGTGACGGGTCTGGGTGTTTTCTATGTATATTAAGTATGTATTTACAAAAAAAAAAGTATTTAAGTATGTTTATATCCGTTGTCTAGTACCCATAGTACAAGCTTTGCTTAGTTTGGGGCTAGCGGCGCAGTGTTAAATGTCCAAGGATATTTATTATTATTTAATTAAATATTGTCAACTACCCTACTGCCTGTGTTTTACCGTACGCAAGTCCTGACGCAAATTTTGGACGTATCTAGAGTAAGGCGGGCTACCGTAGTGCGATACTAACGCCACCTGACGCGCAGGCGCGGAGCGCTCGTGTGTGGGCCGCTACCGACCGCTGACGCCGCCCGCCGCCGCCACGTAACTATATCCGCCCTAGCCCTACCCACCACTCACCACGTACTACGTATAGACAAAGACTGTTGTATACTTACTGCTAGACAAGCTTTTATGGATACAATTGTGACAAAAAACAACTTTAAGAAATTATTACAAACTAGCTGTGCCCGCGACTTCGTACGCGTGAAAACCCGTTTTCGCAACATTTTTCATTTTTGCTCTGCACCTTTTACTCGTAGCGTGATGGTATATAGCCTATAAACCTTCCTCAATAAATGGGCTGTCTAACACTGAAAGAATTTTTCAAATCGGACCGGTAGTTCCTGAGATTAGCGCGTTCAAGTAAACAAACAAACAAACTCTTCAGCTTTATAATATTATAGTATAGATGCGCACTTAAATAATTACAAATGTGCCCGTAAATGATTACAAATGAGCACGTAAATAATTACAAATGTGCCCGTAAATTATTACAAATGCGCACGTAAATAATTACATACATATGTGCCCGTCAGTAATTACAAATGCGCACGTATTTTATTACAAATGTGCACGTAAATAATTACAAATGCGCACGTAAATAGTTACAAATGCGCACGTAAATAATTATAAATGTGCTCGTAAATGATTACAAATGCGCACGTAAATAGTTACAAATGCGCACGTAAATAGCTACTAGTGCGCACGTAAATGATTACAAATGCGCACGTAAATAATTACAGATGCGCAAGTAAATGATTACAAATGCGCACATAAATAATTACAAATGCGCACGTAAATAATTATGTTTTACTGGTCTCTCAATAAATGTTAGTTTGTTTACTACAACCTCCGTGGTTCTCACGGCACATCTGCTCATCCCTTACTTGTCTAAATTAGTTGTTGATAAGTGTCACAAACTAAGTGAGCAATATTTCAGTTCATAACTTGTCTAGTGGTATGTAGAAGTCTTTGACCACTGGCCACACCTCGCTACACTAGAGTGACAAGGGTTGACGACTTTTGTCATATACTTGTTGCACAGTAATGCGTAGTTTTACTCAATATATTAAGAACATGGCATCGCAAAGTATTAAATAATACAACCCTATCAAATTATTTTTAGATAGGCAAATTGGATGCTATGGTAATTTCGTCACCAGAAGTTGTCAACCCTTATCTAACACCAACGGTTCGCGAATACGATGCTTTCTATGGGTATTTATTATGCAATTTTCTTTTGAAGTTAAAAAGAAGAGAGCGGCTCAGTTCAAGAAGTCACTATGTTTTTTTCCACATTTTGGTAGTTTATATTTTTAGCATCACATTTTTAGTATAATTCGTAAACTTCTCGTGTGATTTCAATTGAGCCTTTTTAACTAGCACCGTAACAATTTAATAATACATTGAAAATTAGTTGATCCACCATAGAAAGCATCGTGATATAGTCGCCATTCGAAGCACACAAAGTCAGCTCGGCTTCAACCCCAGTAATCAGTCGGACCACGAATGATCGATGTTTGCCCACTGCTTAGCCCACGCTTGGTATAGTAGGCCGCAGGATTTGTGACTAAAAATATCAAATACCGTTTTGTTCGAATATCGTTGAATATCCTGGCCAAAGACCTCACGAAAACATTGTTTAACAATGAGGGTCTTCGCGAATGAAAAATCCGCCAGATGGCAATACGTAGACGCGAGGTCCAAATGCTGCATGATTGGTTATTTTTGACATGACATTGACAGATATGTCAATATCCACCAATCACGCAGCAGTCAGACCCCACATCCACGTCCCGCTATCTAGCGGATCTTTCATTCGCGAAAACCCTCATTTGCATCAAGTTTGTGTAAAAAAATGCTGTCAAAATTATACCAGTTGATCTGGTGGTTAGTATAGATGTAAATTTAAAATATTAAAACACCTGCGGCCCACTGTCACTTGTCGTCGTCACTAGGATTTTTGTCTCGCTTCGTCGTATGCGCACCACTGTGTTCGTCTCACTTCCTCACGTGTTCCGTGTTCGTCTGTGTCTTTAGCTTATTTCATGTGCATGCTTTGTGTATATACTTTTAATTTTAAAGAGCTTGTCTAATCTTTGTATAAAGCCATTTTTCAGTCGCCTATTAACTTTTATCTTGACATTTTGACAGCTTTTGTATAGAAACACTGTCAAGATGTCATAGAAATTAGTGACGATTGAATGGATTTAAAGATAGGGCAGGCCCTTGAAATAACCTTGATTCCATTTTTAAATAATGCTGTATCATGCATTTCTATCAATACATTGCTGTTTCATCTGTGATGCCACTCTATTGTTCATGCTACATTTTTAAAAGCCTATTTTTTTTAACAAACAAAATAACCAGTATGAATTAGAGAGTGGGGTCACAGAATGTATATTTTTTGTCATTAAACTTGCTACTAATTTAATTTAAAAAATAATAACTGGCTGGAAACCTTAGCCTTCAATAACTGCTTTTACAGCATTGTTTACTGTTTTACATACTAAAATAGTGAGATAGTAAACGATAACGTGTGTATAATAGTTTATTTTCTCACTAAACATAATAATTGATGCCACGTTTTCAATGTGGAGTGTGTTTTGTGTAAATATTGGTAACATACAACTCTGTCACCCATTCCAATATTCCATGTACAGTCTGAATTGATTTAATTTTCCAAATATGTATTACTTTAGCTTGTCTAAATATGCATTAAATATAGAGATTATAGTTAAATATTCTCTTACTATAAAAGTAAATAAAAAGCTTTTGATTTCTTTGCTTTATTTTTGGAAAATTAAATCGAAGTATACTTTGTCTAACATCTCATGCCACCTCGCTCGCTTTGCACAATAAAAACGCATTACACATGCCACATACAGAGTTTTAAACGCCTTTTATGTTATTTTTATTTTTGTTAAAATAGTATGTACCACATTTTCTAATTTGGCTTTTGAAAGCACCTTAATGTTATTAATTGATTGGTAGTTAGTTATTAAAATAAATATTTGAAGGCGTTTAGAATATTAACTGTGATACATTGCTAGCTTGTTTGAGTCCAATCTCGAGATATTTTCTCAACATAAAGTTAACCCCTCAAAAGTCTGCGGGGTACCATAATACCCGAAGTAAAAAAAAAAATTAGTACACAAACAGGCTAGCTCTATCGTTCTGTGTGTGGCCGGTCACGGTCCGAAGCTTACATGGGTTTCTTCCGTTTTTCAGGTGAATCCACGTACTTGTGATGGCGACTGGCTCCACTCCATACATAAACCCTGCTTTCGCTCATCAAGAGACCCTAACACGGTGCCGTAAAGGCCCCACTGCCTTTACTTAGTGTCTAACTTACAGTGTTGTATGTGTGTACGTGTACTGTAGTTTAAGCGGGCTGTGCCATTGCCACGAACGACGCCGTCGACTCAAATGTGATAATACGAGTGCTGAAGGACATAAGGACGATAAATTATCTTGGTACTAGGCATCGCTACCTCGATGTAAAATATTCCCCTTGATGCTTTGTTCGTTTAAAGTCACAAGGTATGTTCTTAAATTCTCTCCGACTGATAAGTACACTGAGTTATCTTTTTCGGATTTTTTTTTACTGAATATTATGTAGCAACGATTGTAATGTTAGCGATGCGGTTACAATGGCAGAAGGATCTGGCTCTTTGGTGTTAGCATTTATAGGGTTATCAGAATGCCTCTTCCATTTTGCGGATTGCCATTAAGAAAAACTGAAAAAGAATAGACGTTTAGAAACCGGCCAGTGTATAAGTAGTTTCCGATCAAAATAAAAACTTTAATAATTACAATATTTAAACGAAATGAAACTATTGAGTGTAATAGTCGATATTTATTTTTTCTGGAATTTCGTATCAATTTGATGTATTGTATTTTTATAGTGTACCTATTAATCTATTTTAAACATGGCATTAATACACGTAAGGTCCAAAACCTTTTTGTTTGGTCTCCCAACTACTTACTGTCTCTAAATTAGGTAAAAATATTTTTTCAGAATAATAAAAATTGTATTCTTTCGACCAAAAAAAGGTTTTGTAGTAGTTCTGTGTCTAAGATTCTGATAGAAAGTCTTACCACAGGGAACCAATTCTGAAGTGGTGCTTTTGGTTTTAACAATAATACCCCTTATAAGTAGGTACGAAAGTCTAAATTTAATCTTTACCTACCCCACTGCAAGTCGGCATATTATTACTTTTTAAAGGAATAACCTAGATTTTTAATACGAAATTAATCCGATGCCGTTGGCCTACGAATCCAAGACTTGTATTATTTAGGTTTTGTATGCGCTTGATACACGTTTCGATTTATCGATTCCGTTTGGGTAGCAATCGATTTCATTTAAATTAAATGTTGAATATTGATCACAAATTCTTTTAGGTTAGTTATTCTGAAACGAAATTAAAACTTCATTCAAACGCAAGTGACATTCTAGCATGTGTAATTCATCCAATCACATGCTGGATTCTATACTTGAGATTGACTCGAGTTCTAATGTTTCATATTACGAGCCTAATTCATATAAAACACTTCTTACCACTCTCTTTAATGGGTAGTGTATCAAATATTTGGCCAATATTTTTTTTTAATAAATCGCCCAATAAGGATGAAATAAATCGACGCGTGCGCAAGGCGCAGGCACCACGTTGTACTAATTCTGTTAGGTAAATCGTATTGAATAGTTACTTTAATATGTAAAGAATTACACGCCGCTCGGCGAGGCACACGATCCCACCAGAATTGACTAAGTCCTGACGGACAGTTGTTTTGTATAGGTTCAAAAGATCTCAGTGACTGCCGTCAGTAATGATAAAAAATTTTAGGCTTCTATGGATCGGCTATGAGCTTTCGTATGATGAGCTATGTCCTGACAGTGTTGCCACAGAAAATAATTGCTAAACATGTTTATATCGACGCCATTTTGAATTGTACAGGGTGATTTTTAATCATTTTACAGTTTAATTTTTGAAGCCGCCGGCGGCTCGTATACCACTCTAATGCCAATTTTTTTTTTTTAGAAAAGCCTTAAGTTCATGTTCAAATATTAGATATGAGAACGTATTAACTTATTTGAGCAGCAGCATTATATTCATGAATTAGAAATTACCCCGTATAGTTTAAAAAGGTCGTCGGTATAGTAATCGTATAATAGCACAAACGTATCGTAACAACCTTTGACGTATGGCACGTGACATAATCCTGTAAAAAGCAGGGCTGATCAACTCGAACTTTTCTGTTGATCCATATTAGTTTATTTGCGTTTTGTGATTAATTTAATCACAATTTTAATTTAATCACAATAGACCTTTACTGAAATTTCGTGTAAAGCAAAATCATTTTCCGTTGAAGTGTTAAAAGACACTCGATTTAGTTAATTTTATTAGCAATAAGTTTCTTTTTAGTTAAATTATTTTGAAAATTACTTATAGAAAATGCACAAAATATCAATTGTTAATGAACTCAAACAAGATCATATTTTTGGTGGCTGATTATGCGAAAGCTTCATAGTAGCTCCGTTTGATATAACAGTCTTCGTTGAGCTTGTGTTTGGAAAAGGCGATTATGGTTTTAACCCTTTCAATACTGCGCGGGGCTTCAAAATTAGATATCTCGAAGATAGGAAATAGGATATAATGCGAAACACTCAATTACTTAACTTTTTAGACATATAAACAGTATAATAATTTGTTTTGCCAGAAATTCAGCAGCGTTGAAAGGGTTACATAAAAACAATTGGAAATGCGAGAAATGGGAATATTGATTTTTGTATTTGAGTTTGGAATGTGAAATTAAAATAAGATGTGCTGGGAACTCGCAACACAGTGTTTTGTCTTGTGTGACTCTAAGTTACAGGGATATAAACAAAAAAATAAAACAAATGCTAAATTGTCGAAGTGATAAACGAATCCGGCTGTCGATTTGTGTTTGTTGAACAGCCCTGAAAAATTTACGTAGCGTATCCTTTAGTTTGGTATACTAATTTATTAGTAAGCAACAAATTACGCTTAAGATACACTTCATTTGTACTTGAAAATGTATTAATCGTTCCCAGCAACAGTGTGGATTCGGCTCAGACCGACTTATTCCGTTACAAATCGGGGATATAATACTTTTTTTTTATTTTCTAATTGTAAATATTATTGTTATAATGCATTAGTGTTAAATGAGATCTGTTTTTCATTGATAGAATAAGTAGGTTGCGTCACAACCGAGTGACCATTTGAAAATTTTACAATATTGACAATAGCGGTTTAAAAATGGCGGGCCCATGCAATGGAGCGACAGTCGCGAATCGGTTCCGGATCGTTTCTATGACGTTAGGGCCCGGACATGCATTACCTACTGAGCGGCGCGGCGACGTAACACATGCACAGTATAAATACTTGCTAATGAAGGTTTTCGCGTATGAAAGATCCGCTGATGGCGGGACGTGGATGTGGGGTCTGACTGCGTGATTGGTGGATTTTGACATATATGTCAATGTCATGTCAAAAATAAGCAATCATGCAGCATTTGGACCTCGCGTCTACGTATTGCCATCTGGCGGATTTTTCATACGTGAAAACCCTCATTGGCGAGTGCTGTCTCTTCTATCATACAGACAAAAAGGCATCGGCTTGTGATTGGCTGTTTGCTATTGTAAAATATCTTTGGTAAGGTAAACTGTAGACCTTGTTGATAAGAGCGTCGTTGCTGATTTGCAAATTTCTTGCATGCCTACCGTCGCCGCGTCGCAACGCACGGTGGATATGGGCTCTTAGGATATGTGATACGGTGACGGGCGTCCCGACTCATGCCTCCCAAGTTAATGTTGTTTTAAGTACTTGCACAATGTAAAATATACTCCTAACCCCTAAGGTTGATATGGGTCGGGAAGGCCAACTTAAAATCATAATAAATAAGATGGACAGTTGATCAAAAATGCCGATATTTGTTAAGTTTTGTTTGGAGTAACTCAATGACAGAGTCTGTGAAATAGCTGAATCACTGGCGACTTTGAAACCTTTGTTTAAAAACTGTACAGGGTATCCTTGGATCGGCCTGAAACAATATTAAATCCAAGATATCGCCAGTGAGAAGCAATCGTATTCACTCGGTGTTGTGACGTCACCGCGCATTAGTTATTACTTTTCGGACCTGTTTCACAAATTGCAGATAAAGTCTAATAGCTGCTCATTAACAATTAATCTGTCAGATAAAGAACACTTGGTTTCACAGGTATCCTTTATGTGACAGATAGCGTTGTCTGATAGCTAGCTATCTTAAACTCTATCAGGAACATGTGAAACTGATCCTTAGTAATTTAGCGTTACCAACAAGTTTCGCTATAACTTTTTTTAAATATCATATTTTGAGTCAAAATTCGAATTCTATGTAAGCTCGACAGAAAATCGATGTTAGATTAAAAAAATCTTTTATCTATTTCAATTTCTGAACAAAGAGTTCCTACAGATACTTAATTCATGATTGGCATTTTGGAGAAACTTGGTAAGGTTAGCGTAAGAAACGGTTAATGTAGGATAAGGTAGAAAGTTATGTAAGATAGACTAACAACGTCATAGAAATCATCATAACGTGAATTCGATATACGTGTAACTTAAAAATGTACGGAGGCGTTTAAAGTTTCGGTTGGTATAGACTATGAAATTAGTTTTTTATTGTTAATAGAGCTAAGGCGAGTCACATGCATGCTTCCAGTTTGAAAAAGTTTTTTTAAGTCATGAATTTGTAACGTCTTTTAATTAGTTTGTAATTTTTTTTATGTCGCTTCAGATGTCTATGAGCTCCTAACACGAGACTCTGTTTTGTTAAAATTTCCATTCGATTGTAAATAAGGCGATTCAATTCCATATTAATTTCGTTACGCTGATATTTGTTATTCGGCAGTTATTGTCTGTGGCGAGTGCGTTTGCGATGCAAAATAGGAAAATTGTCATAGACAACTGACGATCAGTCATGTTTAATCTGTAACGTCGTTTTCGAATCTCGAAAGTTGAAAATTTATAAATACTCAATTTAAACGAGCTTCTTATCGAAGAGTTACAGAGGTAGTTCACATGATTGTGTAATATCTACTTTATCATTAGCAAAAGGCACGTTCCACAGACAGCAACAAACCGATATTATTATTTCAAATTGTAATTATAAGCAGCAAATGCAATCTATTTGGCGTCCGGTGTTCAATGCGCGTATCATCAAGTACAAATCTAGGAGTTGTTAGTGCGGTCGTCCCGTCAGATGGAGTGACTAAGTCATAACTTATTCTCCGACGTTATTTTTAAAGATGGAAACTTTACAGCCACGTTAGCGTAATGTCCCATTCCAAGTCTTAGATGTGTTGTTTTGCACGAAGTTTTCGTTACGGTGGTCACGCGACCTCCCCTCTTCATCAAAGGTTTAGCTTTAAAGATTGTTGTTTGCCTTATAAAAAAATGTGATCTTATGACGATTATACATAACGGGTGTTAGCGCAGCGCTCGCAGCGGCTTGCGTTGTATAAAAAATACTTGACTCTTTTGGGCCTTTACACTCTTTAACTTTTCTTTTACGTTTCGCAAGAAAATCTACTAAAAAGATCTCGAATTTTCTAGAAAACGCTTTAATACGCATGAGCTGCGGACGCTGCGCGTGCGAGTGAATATGCCTTGTATAATGATAACAAATGAATTATGTAATATAATAAGACTTGACAAGTGCGGTGTGAAGTTGCGAGGCTCGGTGCAGCCTACTGTCAATTGGATACAGTTAGGGCGTAAAGGGCTTTATTGGTGGGAGGCTGGCAGCTTGCGCCGACATTGGATCTTATAATGACATACTTAGCGTTTTCTGAAACGATTTCCATAACTATTGACACTTGGCAAAGATTCAACGCAAAGCAATTTGTGCCTTATCATGTTTGCAATTGGGACCGACTTGATTTGCGCTGAATCTATGCTCAAGTGCAGATCCTGGAATCGTTTCAGGATTCGGGCCTTCAGTAGTTTTCGAATGTTACTTAATATGTTTACTATATTATTGTCAGTTAACTTGTTCATTTAATTTTTTGTACTTTTCTATGTCTGTAAAAAACACAGTATGAAGGTAACATGTTTATTTGCGCTGTCATATAAAGTTTAAACGAGATAAAAACTTCAGTAGCTATGTATTTGTAGCTGGTCTTAATGTTTGTGCTTTGCATATAAATTCTGTTACCCTCTACTATGTTTTATGGTGTTAAATATTTTGAATTAGGTCAATCCAAAGCGTCAGTGTCGGCGCAACCGGCCAGCCTTTACTTGTTAGTTGTAAGAATGGTGTGAACAATTTTATTTCTACTTCTGTATACTTTACACCGCCACATAACTGGTAAAGCCCTCTCCGCAGGTTTAAAATATAAAAAAACTTTTTTATGAATCATAAGAAATGCTTAGTTCCACAATAATTAATAAAGATGCGTAAATTTTTCTTATTAGTAAGTAAAAGATCTCATATGTCTTATATTTGTTTTGTCTTTTTTATATTTTGAGGAACTTCAGAATAGTCGAGTTGATTTAAAGACAACTTATGTAAAATAAAATATATTGATGTAAATATTTTCTGTGTTTTATTTTCACGACATTATAAACTTCGATTTGTCAGATTAATGCCCGTTTTCACCATCAATCCCTAATTTTTAAGTTACCCCTATGATAACACAACAGGAATTTTGTATTCATAGGGGTCACTTAAATATTAGGAAGAGAATCACAAGGAAGCGCGAATAGTATATTGAAGCTGTGGTAGCAACCAATAGCTTTGTGGATGATAAAATTCAATAAAAGGATTTTTAATGTAGGTAGGTATATGAGAATATGACCGGTTATTTCCTACCGAAAAACAATGTTATCCGTGACTGCCAGTAGAACAAAGCAGCAAAACCTCAGCCAACACAGAGCTAATGAAGGAGGTATGCTATGTACCTTACCCGTGGTCTTATTGTGTAAAATTGGGCGTGGTTTCTCATAGGTTACTACTATGAGAAACCACGCCTACTTTTTTGAGACATTTATCTGCCAAAAAAGTGGAGTTGATCAAGATGTTCAAATCTATGTAGCGCAGCATCTTCGGTGGGACAGACTATCGTTATACAACTGTAGTCAGTGCCTGAGGAATGGGGAGCGGCGCATAGAGAATTAGAGAATCATAGGATTTAAAAATAACAAGCAAATTAAAACGTATCGACAACTTTATTTCTTATTAACATAGTGATATAAAATTGTTTCTATCTCTGCACTAAAACTAGGCCTGTAACATAGGCTATATTGCTCCCCTGCCCCTTCCTCTGCCTCTGAATCCCCCTCTTCCCCTAGGCCTCGCCCCCTTGTTAGTGTTAGGGGGACTCTTAGGCCTGAGCGCTTCTATCCGTTCAGTACACCCGGTGCTCTCCCGACCCTCCGTAAAGTATGAAGCGTACAGTTCAGCTTTGAAGTTGGAGTTTGTTAGCTCGTGGCCGATGGTCACCCATCCAGGTCGGATGGTGGAGTCGCGGCCGAAGAGATGTATTCTGGAATAAAGATATCACAATTTTAATTCAAATAAAGATAATCTTTTCACTGGGGGAGAAAATATTTCTCAATACTTTTTCCTATCTATAGATTTTTCAGACGATTAGATAGTAGTGTAACGCCAATATTCATCTTGTGATGGCTCTTTTCGCCTAGTCTCGGAACCCTAGTGACACATGTTATCGTTGTTTTTCCCCTGGCAAATCTTTAAAGGCACATGTGAAGACAATTTGAACTTGTTGTTAGAAATTTGAATTTAATACATGTAGTATTTCCTTAAAATATTCTAGTACAATTAGGTTTCATAGTGTGTACAAACCTTCTTCTGCCTAAACAAAAGTGCTCCATAATGTGGAATATCTCAATTGGCTTCTCTGTACTTCCAAACTCGGGATCCTCTGAGATTATAAGATCGATGTCCACATTAGCATGTATGAAGTCTCCGTCTGAAGACCTCCGAACTGTTCCCTTTATGCCCATAAGGCAGTGCTCCTTAGTTCTCTGGAACACTGCATTATGTTCAAGGTTCTTGGAGTGGCCAGGGTTCTTGATATTAGTTTTTATCCAGCAGATGTCTTCACATCGTCGAAATCCCCATTTTTTCAGGCATTCTCTGCCCATGTCCAAACCTAAAAAAAGATTTTAAGATCTCAATCAAGTTTGCATTGTACCATTTTTTCCAAAATATTCTAAGCAGTCTATTAGCTTTTCTCTTAATGTAGAACACAGCAAGCCAGCTTTGTAAATCTAAAGGAGTTTTTTTAGACAACAAACGAAACAACAAAAATAAAAAGTTATAGATGCTCAATATTCTGGGTTAACTGAGATTAAACTAACAATATCAGAAATATCTAGACAGTACCTTCTGAGCTTCCACACCACAGAAAGATAAATGATCTGGCTTGCGCAATTTGCTGTAAGTCAAGCGCCAAAATATCCTGCCAGCGCCAGCCCGAGCCCAGCGGAGGCTCCACCAGGATCACGTCAAACTTGTTGCCTATCTGTTTCAGGTCAAACGTCTGAAACAAAAGATAACAGGTTAAAAGTAGGTATAATTACTATGTTGAAGTTGATGCAATGGATTTGCATATTTTAATATGGCATCATGTATGATGTTATGCCTGTGAAAACCTCTTAAGTGTAAAAGAAAAAAAAACTGAACTGAAAAAAGACCTGTCAAAAAAAATGCATTCATGAGGTTTTAACTCTTAAGGTGACGTTATGTAACCAAACCATGCTGTAGCAAGGTACAATCAGGAAAAGATTAAAGACACATTGTCTTGAATCAGTGATAGTAACCTATCTCAAGGACAAGTTAACTAAAAGGGCTTTTGTAAAGCCTAATTACAGGAAATAAATGTAATTTATTAGATTTTTACCTTCAAGTCGCATTTCAAATACATAGGTGGTGTAGCAGTTTGTGCTATCAGATCATCCTTCAGCTTGATGAGTTCTCGTAACTTGGGGTACTCCTCAAACCGGTCTGCGAGCCCAACGTCACGGATGAAGTTCTGAGGCCTTTGGCCGGTGTCCACAAAGTGCTGGCAATAGTCATTGTGGGGGTTTGAAGACTGTGTACCCTGAAATAATGTAAAGCATATGATTAGAATGGGAAAACATAAATAACTCACAAAATTAGTATTAGGAAAGTTGTAAAAAGCATTTTCACAACTTTCTAACAAACTAAGATCATAAGAGTTGTATAGAGTTAAAACAAATATCTTTAATACAACAACCAAGTGCAAGAGCCATCTTAGAATGTAATTTAAATATAGGTCAAGGTATGACTTGTGTCTGTTGATCCAAATTGAATGTGTTGTGGCACATGAAAGAAAATATTTTTGATATTTTACAAATAAATAGCATACCACGGCTTATAGCTTCAAATGCTGTACAGACAGTACCTACTATTAAGAAAATTAACAGCATTAAAATGCTAAACAGCTAATGAGTGGTGGAAAATTGGCAAAGAACAGATTTTATTTGATTATTTTTCTACTAAGTAATAAGTAGGTATGTATCTAAATATACAGGGTGTCCCGTAATGTAACGTCAAGCCGGAACTGGGTGTTGAGGCAAGTTGTGCTGGTTATCAGAAAAATATAAAAAAAAATCTATGTGGCATATTTTAAAAATAATAGGCATTTAAAAAAAATCAAAAAATTCTACTCCAGGTGACGGTCCTTTTGCTCGTGTTGCCACAAATCTTCACTTTTTCCAAATTTTTTTTTTGTTATATAACCCTGAATAATGCTTCTCTAAATTGTTATCAAAATTACAAAACCAGCTGCTCCAGCTTGGATGAAAAAAATACATTATTCCCAAAAAAAATTTCAAAATAAAAATTTTGCCTAGTTTAAACTGACTGTACTGAAAAAAAAATGTACTACGCTAGTGTGGCAAGTGACGTCATAATTTGGCGCATTTAGTAAGGATTCCAAAATGGTATAACACTTGGTAAATTTTTGCTGTAATTGTCGACAATTTTTGTTTTTTTGGAAATAGTCCCGTTTTTAACTTTATCTACCTTGGTTAAAAATTATTATTCTAATGTGCCCAAAATTCAAGTTTCTGTGACTGACTACCGTACAGTCAGTCACAGAAACTTTTGTCACCATGACAGTAATTAGTAGTTGACATACTGTGACAAAAGTCACCCGTGCGCGCGCGCCTTTACTACCTGCTCTGCCTGCACTTGTACTTGGTAACAGGGATAATAAGGATATGAAGTTTCGGTTATGGATACGGTTACGGATATTAGAATAATATTATACCGGTTTCGGTTACGGTCACGGATATGAAATCATTTCAGATTATCCGAAAGTCTCGGATAATTTCGGTTACGGAATTATTAGAATTTCAAAAATGTAGGTATAATACAAATAGCAAGATGCTGCGTGAGCGTGACCCACATAGCTACTTTATGTACCAACTAAGACGACACCTATGTATGATAAAGGTAAAACAGGCTGGCATATTAGATGGTGCCAGCGAATGCCAGACAAGTTGGTAACAAATATTAAGATTTAAGGTACAATTCCAAGACGGGCCGCAGACCGCAAACTGCAACCGCAAACTGCAAAACTATGAAATCGGCAGCGCGGCATTGCAGCTGCGGCGTGTATACTGCAGATTTCATAGAGTTTTGCAGTTTGGCCTTTATCCGAAACTATCCGTAACTTTTGAATCAGTTTCGGTTACGGTTATGGACATTTTTTTATTTCGGATATCCGATAGTTTCGGTTACGGTTACGGATATCCATAACATCCCTGCTTGGTAAGATGGCCCTCTCCGTCCCGCTCATACCTTTTAAAATGGCTTCTCCACCTCACTTAAGCCAGAAACTTGAATTTTGGGCACATTAGAATAATATTTTTAACCAAGGTAGATAAAGTTAAAAACGGGATTATTTCCAATAAACAAAAATTGTCGACAATTACAGCAAGATTTTACAAAGTGTTATACCATTTTGGAATCCTTACTAAATGCGCCAAATTATGACGTCACTTGCCACACTCGCGTAGTACAATTTTTTTTCAGTACAGTCAGTTTAAACTAGGCAAAATTTTTATTTTGATATTTTTTTTGGGAATAATGTATTTTTTTCATCCAAGTTGGAGCAGCTGGTTTTGTAATTTTGATAACAATTTAGAGAAGCATTATTCAGGGTTACATAACAAAAAAAAAATTTGGAAAAAGTGAAGATTTGTGGCAACACGAGTAAAAGGACCGTCACCTGGAGTAGAATTTTTTGATTTTTTTTAAATGCCTATTATTTTTAAAATATGCCACATAGATTTTTTTTTATATTTTTCTGATAACCAGCACAACTTGCCTCAACACCCAGTTCCGGCTTGACGTTACATTACGGGACACCCTGTATAAAAGGAGAAACTGACTGACTGACTGACAGATCAACGCACAGCCTAAACGGCTAAACGTAGGCACTTGAAATTTGGAAGGGACGTGGCTTAGGTACCGTAGAGGTGCACTAAGAAAGGAATTCCCGAAATTCCCACGGGAACGGGAATTAGCGAGAAAAACGGGATTCACGCGTACGAAGTCGCGGGCGGCCGCTAGTCACATATACAAACCACACCTTCAAGAATGTAGAAGAATCTGTGTAAACCAGTTCGTCATGTTGTTCCTTAGTTGTAGGCTTCTCATTTCCTTCATTACTTGTCTCCAACACTGCTTGTTTCTTGGCTGGCACATCTATAGACGTCCCTAGCGCGTGCCGCAACTCACTAACACTGGATACACCAAGCTAAAATCACCAAATTCGTAGATATACAAAAACAAACAAGATGCGTCTCCACTAAAGTTAGGTTATGTTTACGCGACTCACAGTCTGTGCTAGCAACTTCTTTCTTTTTTGTGACCGTTCACGAAGCTCTTTCAGTTTTTCACTCATTATTATTCTTTATAGGTTAATTATCTTATTTATTTAATTCGACTAAGATAAAAGTAACATTTAACTTAAAATTATTAGACAAACGAACGAGTAACACAACAGCGTAAAGCGCGCTCTACACTCGCGCGCGATTCCTGCTGTGAATTCACGCCGCGATTCGCGCCGTGCACTTCGCGTTTATATGTGTCTCTCCTCCACCCACACTCGCGAAACCTCGCAGTCTCGTTCGCGGCCTCAATGGATGACGACGTGATTGTTGCTGCGGTGACGCTCTGTGCTATATCGTATTACAATTACCTATGTATTAAAAATAAGACTCTAATAAAAAATGTTTAATGGGTTTATATATTTCACTTGAGCTTGCCCCACTATGAGTGGAATCCTTAACTTTCTTTCTATAGGTTCTATTCCTCTCAAGCGACCTGCGGCGGGAGGAGACGCACGTCACGAAGCTCTAAAGTGCTCTGCGGCGGCTCCCGCCGCAAATCACTTGTCCAAGTTCGGGACCTTGTCATTTAAAAAATATAGTTCTGTTTCTTTCGCTCGAAAGTAATAATGCTTAAGTATGAATGTGATAGCTATATTTTCTAGGCACTATGGTTGCTTTTCAACCAAATTTTTCTCAGTCTGTGTTTGAAGATGACGCGATCCGCGGTGCCCGTCTGGGTAGTGAAAAAGATGGATGTTTTTTATCGTTTAGATGCTTTGGAAGTGTGTTTTTCTTTATAAAAAACGTGTATAATGTGATTAACTTTGGAAATAAGTGTTAATATATAACATTGCTTCTAATTTTGAAGGTGAATCAAGTGCAATCACAAAAAGTGACAAAAATGACGAATCTTTTTTTTCAAGTAAGTGTTGTACCTAAAATATATATTTGTTAGCCTTAAAAGTTACACCAAAAGACGGGTAATTTTATCCAGATTCCAAAAATGTGACTCGATAGTATGTAACGGTAATAATGATAAGCTATTTTAGGGAAAATGCGCAACGGGAATTTTTTTTTTTTTCCCGCGGGAAGTGGGGGGCACGTCACGCAGTAGCGCCTTCCCGCCGCAGATCGCTTTTAACTGGACATAAGTGAGTCCTTTTTTTTTTCAATTCACCCACAGGAATATTCAAAAAGTCACTTATCCGCGTCCAGGCATAGTGGGTCTTATTTTTATTTTTATGGTCCTTGTGTTTGGACTGTCAAAGTATTGGTTCGGATTGAAAACACTCGATAAATTTCAACTCAAGTTCATTATTCCATGCCTAGTACCTACTCATTTAAAAAAAAAAAGAACGTTAGTAAGTACGCAATAACGCACAACCACTTGCGACGGCGTCTTCTCAGCTATTGCGAAAAACTGCGAGTGTAGTTGCGTTCGCGATCGCGGGCCGTGAACCAAGCGCGAACCTTTGTCGCGGGACAAAAAACCGACAACGAACGGGGAACGGCGCGAAGCGTGAACGCGAACGCGCGAAAGTCCGCGAAACCATCTACACACGCGTTTCGCGGCTTTCGCGGCCTTTCGCGCCGCGAGTGTAGAGCGCGCTTTACAGCAACAGCTTGACGTAAAACAAAATGTCAAACAGCGGAAGAACAGGATTTATCCGTTCCGTTCGTTCAAAATTTTCTGATAAGTTTTCGGTTTTGAAGAGATGTATATTTTTTGGGGCATCAATAGTGATTATTTTAAAATTATTGTGATTTACGATTAATGTATTGAAACGTTAAATGTAAACGTTTAATAAATTCTGCTTAAGTGAAAGTCTGGGGCTCGATTCTTCGCGTCCGGGAAGCATTCGGCTTCGGAAATCAAAATCTCATTTAAGATTTTTTCGGGTCATTATGTAGGTACTTAGGTTGTTCAGTTTTCTTACAAAGGATTCCACTAGTTCATTATACCTACTTAGTTTGTTCAGCCAGGGAGACATCTTACTAGGAACTTAAAGAGGAATCGTAGTAGTTTTTAATTAAATAAAACTCATTTGTGTTCTTTTAGCGTTTAATCACATTGATCCGGCTTGACGCAGGCGCCGGTTCGGTCACGCAGCAGCCCTTGCGTGCAGTGGCAGGCCAGCCGGCAGCGACGCGGACGCACGACACACGCGCGTCTCCCGCAGCGCGCCTCGCAGCCGTAGCGGCATACGTACTCTTCGTTCGGGGGACATTTCTCTGGAAATGATGATGATAGGTAACATAGTAAATTAACATGTGCAACTTATGCACATGTTAATTTACTACGGTACGGCACTGGCCACCAGGAGAAGGTGGCCGGTGCCGCACCTTAGGCGAGTGTCCACGTTGAGATAGTACTAGTACCTATTCTTATCTATGGTAAGACTAACGAAACTCAACCATTCGTTTAACAATTAATTAAACCCAAATCAAATTCCCAAAATGAACAAACGCCTGATGTTTCCCCATAGGCACTAACTTATGGGGATAGCTCCATAAACAATTATTTATTTTTTGTAGGCGCTACATTTTGGCGATAATCCGAAAACTAAAAGGAGTCAGCACAAGTAGTTTTTAGTTAGTAAAGTTTTTAGATCGAGTAAGGTAGAGAATTAAATAATAGCTGCCTACTGCTTCAATTACCTAAATATTGCTATCTTGCTGAAAAGTTGAATTAGAAATTGCACATTATTTTTCTTATCACATTTTCTGCCAGCCATGTGAGAACACCTGTGTAAGAGAGTTGACAAAACGAATATGTTTATATCAAGTTCGTTAACGTTTAATTATACCTAATGTGCATCTTTTTTATCTTAACAGCGTAATCGTTACTAATTGGGAACATTCAACGCGTTATCGACACCGACGAACTTAATGCATCGCAATTTGCCGCCATAACTATGGTTAAAGAAAAAAGAGTAAAAGCGGTTAATGCAAGGACATTTAACTAATTTTCGGATAATGCCTTGGGGCATTAAGCCCACCTTATGCGCCAATACGTGTGGCATTAAAGTAAATAATAAATAGATAAGAAGCCTCCTTAGGCCGAGTTGCACCCTTACTTTAACATTAACTATATAACCGGTGTTTTTGGTATGGAGTTTGACAGATTTTTTATGTTTGTTTAATAAAGTTAAAGTAAGATTGATAAAGTAAGACTGGGTGGCCTTAAAATGACAGAAGATGCGTTCAGCCTGAGAGAAGTTTATTTTTTTCAATTGATAAATGATTTTATGATTTTCCTTGCAATGCACGTCAAAATTCCTGACTCTCCAAGCTTGATTAATGTACTTAAAGTACTTCACACTCTGAGCGACCATAACTCCGCGTCAGTAGGCATGTGGGCGTGTAATCTTCTAACTGAGATGCGTGTGGTAAGCACAGTGTCCAGACAAACCTATAAAACCTAATAAAATTACTCGTTAATCAATTGTTGATTGAAATATAGCATATCAAACTATTTTAAAATAGAATCCCACTAAAAACATTTTCGTGAAAAAGAGTTACCAAGACTCGCACTATCAAAAACTTATCAGTTCTTATGTAGAGCCAATCTTTTAACTTTAAAGCCCTAACTCTATTAGCCCTAACTTCACAAACTCTATACTTTAATCCAACATAGCATATAACTGTCTAGTTATTTTGATGAAAGTCAATTCACGGTTCATTATGGTACAATTCCAAGACGCAAACTGCAAAACTCTATGGAATCTTAGATTTCATAGTTTTTTGCGGTTGCAGTTTGCGGTCTGCGGCTTGTCTTGGAATTGTACCTTTACTTTACTGTTAAACAATAGGTACTACTTCTAAAGTAGTTCTTGTTTAACTCTATGCTGGAATATTGGATTATGATCCTACTGCATCGACCTCTCTTAGGATCCGCGTATAAAGTCGTCGGTGTTGGTAAATGGTGTCCATTCATCAGACCCTTATGCCTGTGCCCTTGATCTTTTATGGAGTCAAAGCCTTAGCCTTCAATTCGTCCCTTTGTGCAAAACTTTCCTACGTACTAGTTACTTAAGTAAACATTGTACCCGTTAATTTTCATGTAAATCCTAAATTATATGGTGAAGCTCTACATTTATCTATGTTACAGGAAATGTATGAATTCTAGGAATTGTATACTATTCCTAGGAAATGTATACAATTCCGAAGCTATTTAGGAAATGTATAAAATATTGCTTCACAGATTTTTTAATACGCACATATCCTAGGACATGTATACTTTTCCTAGGAATTTTATAGAATTCCAATATTGTATTAGGAAACTTAGTTTTATCTAAGCGGCACAAGCGCGGTCGTGTGATCGGATGACCCTCAGAGTAGTAGGGAATTGGGTTCTCTGGCTCACGGTCGTTCAACATAATCGGAGGTTTAGTTTTCAGTCTAAGTGAATCGTTCAACTATAGAGCGCTCTCGAGAGGCGCTTTACAGCGCCTCTTAAGCGCGCAACGAGTTGACTGATTCACCTAGACTGAAAACTAAAACTTCGATTATGTTGAACGACCGCGATCCAGANTCCCTACTACTCCTCAGTACGAATAAAATTTCATTTAGCCAAACCACAATGGCCGATAGGTACTTTTAACTTACAACTATTATTGTTTAACCTGAAAGTTGTTTTCGCACTATTATACTTCGGCTGAAAAAAATATTTGCCTATTGGCATACCTTTCTTTCGGCATCACGCATATTACGCTGAAGTATTGGAAAACCCTAATTTTAACATCTCTTTTATTAAACTATTATTGACATGAAGGTTTTAGTACTCCTGTAGCTGGATAACAAAGTCTCGGTTAGGTTAGGTTAGACTTGCGACCTTACACGTACAGAGCGGCCGCGGCGCGGTAGCGCCATTTGAGTTTCGGAGAAAAAAAAGAACTCTTAATTACATTTCCGATTGCTGTTTAGGAAATGTGTAAATTTCCTAGGAAATGTGTCTAATATTACTTATAACTTATACACAAATCCTAGGAATTGTATACAATGACGGATTTCATACATTTCCTGTAACATCTATACATGATAGGCGAAACGAAAGGTGGTTAAAGCGAAATAATAATGTTTTTATAGCATGATCTCTTCAGAGCTGTCAGTCGAAAAAGAGCAAAAGAGCCTATAAGATAATTTTCCTTGTCGAAAATTAGGTCCGTCTGAGGCTTCATATCATGAGTCCATTATAACTGCACCCTGTGAAATCAGACTACTTTTTAAATAAAACCGTTAAAATATTAGATTTTTAGTAAACGGTCATTCTCCGGATCTGGATTATTTTGTTGATTACCCCGACCTTTTTTATTTTTGAATTTAGAGTAAGTTTATGTAAAACATTTCAAAATAGACATTATTACGAGCATATTTTTTATATTGGCCCATCTGTAGCAAGCAGGAATAAAAAGTTATGCGACATCAAAATTTTCATGGTCGGGGTAATCAAAGTTGGGAGTCAGAGTAATCAAAAATAAAACAAAATATTTTATTTTCTAAGGTTTTTTTTAAGTTATGGTAAAATAAATGTTATTATAACCAGCCATTTGTTTTAGGTAAAATAAATGTTATTATAACCAGCCATTTGTTCCTGTAGCAGTGAAGAGCTTCTCTTCACTGCTACAGGAACTCTATCAGTAAGGAAGCTGTACATCCTGAACATTGTCCTAAGAACACATAAAACGCTCCCCTATACGCCTGACACCAGCAACTCGAGACGCAAATTTAACGTTGCCAAAATACCAAAAATTAAATCAATCTTTGCTAAACGTCAACATGGAAACAGATCTGCTACCATGTATAACAAAATTAACAAAGAAATAAACATCTATCCATTAACGTATGCAAAATGCAAATCAGCAGTCACTGAATGGCTACAAACTAAAAATTACGAAGAAATTGAATCTCTGATAGTGAGTTAAAACAAAATCATACATACATTCACATATACATATATTACACATACACACACATTACACATACACACACATTACACATACACACACATTACACATACACACACATTACACATACACTTACATTACACATACACACACATTACACACTCGCACATTATATTTTTTTTAATCCTACATGGTAACCAGGGTCTGATGATGGAGCCGGAAGGTGGCCTTATGAAATCCGTACTAAATCGACACAACCCCGTCGAGTTTGGGCTCGTTTTATTCGTATTGACGAGTATTTCAATCCTACATGGTAACCAGGGTCTGATGATGGAGCCGCACGGTGGTCATAGGAACTTTGCAATAAAACGACACAATACCATCGAGTTTGGGCTCGTTTGATTCGTATTAATGAGGAAAGGACTTCAATTTTATATGATAAACAGGATCTGATGATAGAGCCGGCAGGTGGCTATAGGAATTCCACACTAAAACGACACCACCTTATCGAGTTTTCGCTCATTTGATTCGTATTGATGAGCACTTCAATCACATAATATGATAACTAGGGTCTGATAATAAAGCTGGAAGGTGGTCACATGAACTTTGCAATAAAACGACACAATACCATCAAGTTTGGGCTCGTTTAATTTGTATTGACGACAACTTCAATCCTATAATATAGGATTGAAGAATTGAATGATACTAGGGTCTAATTATGGAGTTGGAATGTGGCCATAGGAACTCCGCAATAAAGCGACACAACCCCGTAGACTTTGGGCTCATTTAATACGTCGCAAGTCGTAACCCTATCAAATGGGAATAATGTTCGTTACATTTAGTATGAATGTAAGTAGTTTCATTTTGATTAGATGAATAACCCATTGCAAAGGTGCACGAGCTGAGAGCTGAATATGAATATTATGAGGGTGTATAAAAAATAATATGTCATAATCACTAACGCTGCGCCTTAACCAAAATGTTTCAATAAACGTTATTTAGTTAATCATTCATTAGTAAAATTACAGTATTATTGATTACTCGGTGACAAAAGTCGGGGTAATCAAGGTCGGGGTAGTCAAAAAATTAAGGTTTATCCTGAGCCCTGCCCAATCTGTAAGTTGAATCCCATATGTTTTAATACACAAAAATGCGGTTACATGGACCATTATTCCTGTACATTCTCAAGAACTTTCCATGTAAAGAAACCTAAAAAAACAGGATAGAGTAAATCAATCGTGCACTGAACCAAGGTCGGGGTAATCATATTCTTATCTCGATAACTCCGAAATCCTGCGACGAGTTGCATTACCGATCACCTCGGCACGCAGGCCACCACTAAAGGTTCACGGGGGAGGATAGAGCTCGTTTCTAAATTGCGTAGCTAGGGACGTAGGCGCACATTAGCGGCGTGTCGGGGTAATCACGGTTAACGCCCGGACACAACTTCAAATATTTATTTTAGAAAACCTTTTAGTGATATAGTTATATCGTATTTAATTTATCAATGTTTATTTAATCAGTAATCGATTACATAAGCATTGAAAACGGTAATAATAACGGATTAATTTATACGAGCAAATTTGTTCTGAAATCGGGAGCGCGGACACGTCGTGGTAATCAATTTTTGACGACTTACGATTTTTTTTAAATTACTTAATTAACTATTATTAACTATCTCTGTGGTTTAACAACAAGAACCAAAGTTATACTATTAGATAAAAATATTTGTTACTAAAATATTATGATATTCGGGTACTTTTTGGCCCCGGACACGTGATTTTCTTGGCCGGTGGAATGACCCTAAATCTTTAAAAAAGTCGATTGAGTTTGAGTTGGTGGAATAGTGACGTCATAAAATATTTTGTCTTAGAAAATCTACCCTTGTATGACCTGCCGGGATACGATGCGCGCCCTGATATACTCTTATCGACGCGAAAATGTATGGGCGAAATCGATAAAATGGCGTGATAACCGCTTATCGCGGCGCGCATTCTAGGCTACTGATCAAACTTTTCGTAATCCTTACGTCCAAGACAGTCCTTCTTCTCCACACAGTGCCCGCTCCTGTGCCTCAGCAGCGGTGGCCTGCAGAGGCAGCCTCGCGTGCAGACCTTGAGAGGACAGACCGGCTCGGGCTCCGAGCAGCTGGGCTCGCACCAGCCGCACGAGTAGAATTCTTCATCGGCGTCGCAGTCCTCGATTGACGGGCCTTGAGGGACCCCTATAGATATTTCAGCTGCAGAATAGGATGAGTTAATTGTAGCTTGAAAGAAGTCGGAGCACTGAAAGATATACCTACCTAAGTATCAAGTCTTAAGATATCTTGTTCCTAAATGAAATACATATACGTTTTTATTGGATAAAATTTTAGTTACTCGTATCTTATTTATTTCCCTAGGTGCCTATTATCGAAATCATGAGGATCGTGTATTCGTATGCGAATTTGGATCTTAATGCTTCAAAGATACATTTTAACAGGGCTGTTTATGGACTCGTATTAAATCGTAATATCAATATTGATAATCTTTTTGTAACTTTAATCGATGAACACCGTAATGGCTGTGGTAACGGTGTATCATACCTTGGTCCAACCAAGGTATGGTATACCTACCTACTACCCGCATAAAAACCATAATTGCAATAAATTGGTGCTACCTTTTACTACATTGTTAGCTACAGAAAACCTAGGCTACCTAGGAAATAACAAGGATGTGTTTTGTTCGGTTGGTGTGCAATGAAGGAAAAAGAAAAAACCCAAAGTTCAGTATTAGTCACTTTATTCAACATAACATAACGTGCATCACAAATAAATAACTTACAGTTAAATAAGATCCAATTATCACAAAATAAATTAATTTATCACAATATCGTCTATAGGCAAGTAGCTATATCTAGCCAGATATTTTGTTAGTGGTAACTTAGTAGGTACCTATTAGTTTTTGTAGGTAATTATAACAAGCCATAGGAATTACTATTTACATCATAACTAATCCAAAACTCAAATTCTTGAAAGTATTTTACATTGACATTCTGATCCTTGCTAGGTACTACAGTTTTTATTGGCACTTATTTCTCGAATATGTACAGAACTAATGTATTAAACAGACAGAACACATTAAAAAGAAGATTAGAATAGATTAATACAGAAGTGCATCACAATTGTCTACATACAAATATCTTACGCATACGCTTCAAAATTATGTTTCACCAGTCACTTCATGCCAAACCCATGAATTTGAAATCTTATTAATTATTCTAAGAACGGATCATCTACGAGACTGTTCCTACATCTCGTTCCCATAACTACAACTCCTGTGTAAACAGGATCTATAGCTTGCCTACCGTCATAAAGTCCCAACCAGTAAAGGCACGTTAAAGTAAAAGGTGAAACACTTAATTAGACCTACTTGAGCATCACGCAATCTACCATCCAAGAGTCTAAACTACAGACCTCGCGGGCAGTCCACCAGTTTGACACACTCCCCATCGGGTGCTTTGTAAAGGCCGTCCTTGCAGAAGCACCCTCGGCTGCATTGGGCAGGGCATTGAGGGCTGGGGTTGCTGCAGGTCTTCTCGCAATTCTCACAGGGCTTGAAGACCTGGTTAGGCCCACAGGTCAGCTCGTAGGCGATCGGTGGTGGGCTCGGGTGTGGTGGCACTGCTGGAAAATTAAGGGTGTTTTAGAAAGGTAGTGGCACTTAATATGATGATATCATCAACGTAGACTTCATTGGATGAGAGCGGTAAATAAGTTTCATTTCTAAAAGTAAGTTTCATTACATAAAACTCGTAAATATAGACGTTCAGACCCTTGTTTAAAAAGCAAGATAGATGATGCATTAAATAAAGGTACAATCATAGTATTCTAAATGGAAATTATCAAGTTTTAAGTAGACGTACACACTTAGAAGACCATACAATTTATTGTAGGTCCTATCTGGAGAAAGTTTTTGATTTATAAATTCTGATGTGGATCTACCTTTAGGACACTGGTCCAGAGTGACGCACTCTCCGTTTGGGGCCTTATAAAGACCGTCTTTACAGAAGCACCCTCTACTGCATTGGGCAGGGCAGCGCTGCGGGTCAGGGCTGGAACAGGTCTTTTCGCAGTTCTCGCAGGGCTTGAAGATCTGGTTCGGTCCACACTTTTGGATGGGCTTGTCAGTGTGCGCATAGTGGGCTGTAAGGAAGATAATATTAACCACTTTAAAAAAATACATTTACCTACATAAATCTCAATTTAGGAACCGGACCTTAGACTTTGTATTTTTTATAAACTTGACAATAAAACTAAGACAACATAAAATATAAACAAGTTCATAAGAAACGGCTCTCAAAAAACTTGTGTGTTTGGCCTAGCTATTGGAATTAAACAACCAATCTGGTTTTCAGCCTTGCGGCCTATTCGACCCAGAAATATCTTTTCGCTTACTTTTATTGGAATACCTTATGACAAAGAAGACAAAGTACCTACCCATGCAGAGTCTTTGACGCCAAAATATTTAAAAATTCCTCAAAGAACGAGTCCTTTTGCAAAAAGCGAGACAACACGACTTACGAATTTCATTAGAAGATTTATTAGAGCACTTCTCCAGCTTCACGCATCTTCCATCCTTATCCCTGACCAGGTCGTCTTTGCAGAAGCAGCCCCTCGAACACTGGGCAGGGCAGACCGGGCGCGGGTTGTCGCAGGTCTTGTTGCAGGGCTCGCAGAACCGGTACTCCTCGTTGTCAGGGCACTTGGCGTCCGCTGGCCGAGGCTCTGTGGTCTCCAGTTTGTAGGATGCAGCTGAAAAAGAGGCAGAGTTATGAAGTCAAAGTCAAAGTCAAAATTTCTTTATTTGTTTAAACTAATAAATAGTTCTTACAAATCGTCATTTTGCTCTTAAGGAGCCTCTACATGTCTCATAATCTTTTATTTACCATGCATTATATTATTATATAAGATGTTGCGTATGGCTGATGGATGGCTGGAAGACGTAGCGTGGGCAGGCCTCCTACTAGGTGGACCGACGATCTGGTAAAGGTCGCGGGAAGAGCCTGGATGCGGGCAGCGCAGGACCGTTCATTGTGGAAAACCTTGGGGGAGGCCTTTGTCCAGCAGTGGACGTCATTTGGCTGACACAACATAAGATGTTGAAGGAGCATTTAGTAAAAACTCTGGGGTTAGACATTTCAGAATTAGCGTATGCACTATGCAGTTCTATTAAACGAAGCGTACTTCCTCATCAAACCTAAATAACTGGGAAGTTGGCCTCACAGATCGCCATCGAATTTAATTGTCTTTTTATAGGTCTTCTAAAGAACTTTTTGATCCTACGTGTAGACTTATCACTCTCTTGAACGGAGAATACTTAAAAATCATACAAGTAAGGTTCCACATTAAATTGTTCTGTAGATGTCTTTTGAAAGCGTTCCGTCTTTTATTTACTTACAATGATACTTACGCAAAGGTGGACACTCCGACAGCTTTATGCAGTGTCCAGTGGCATTTCTGACTTCGTCATCAGCGCAGTAGCAGCCTGGCCTGCAGACGCCCTTGCACTCGGGCACTGGGTCCAAGCAGGTCTTTTGGCAGCCTCCACACATCAGGAGCCTTTCTTTTGGCCGGCATATTGACGCTACTTGACCTACAATAAATAATATAATGTTTGAGGTTGGACATTATTAACATAGCAGTTCGGCATTTGAGAAAGTAGGTAATGATTTACATTGGACATCATCACACTTGTACCTAATAAACGTAACTATTTCTAAATTAAACCGCCAATATTCGTAAGGCGTGGTTATTGGCTGAGCGAAAGAACTTCATTCTTTCGCTCAGCCAATAGCAACGCTCGATTCCTACGGGAGTCGATCCTGATTGGCTGCCACTGTCAGTGTGATGGCCGTCCTCGCCGCGAGTTGCAACGTTCGGATTGTTGTTGCAAATAATTCCCATTTCTGCATATTTTGACTATTTTTCCGTCTGAGAAGTGTTGTGAATGAACTACGCGCTCCATCGTATGTCTTGGTGTGAATAGTAATCCGAGCTGGGATCCGACCTGGGATCCGACCTGCGCGTGAAGACCGTGTGACTGACCGTTTGCTAAAAAACCAATGGAAGAATCAAAACCCTGTCCACTCGTGTGTGGAAATGAAGCCTTTCAGCCTGCACCCACTGGTGAGTGTTGTTGTCTTATTGGTGGTGGGCGAGCGAACCGCGATTCGTAAAGGACATCATCCATTTTGGTCCAAAATCAAAAGTGCCGGCCAAAAAATAAAAGTGCTGTATTCTGATAGAATACGTCCGCCTTAGCATTTATTACTATGGCACCAAAGCTGTAGCACCACTCTGCATCGTAGTATTTGAGTTCTAAAAATATATGAAACGACTGACTTTGATCTCAAATACTACGACGCACAGTGGTGCTACAGCTTTGGTGTCATAGTAACAAATGCTAAGGCGGACGTATTCTGTCAGAATACAGTACTTTTTTTTTATTGGCCGGCACTTTTGATTTTGGACCAAAAATATATGAAACGTGGATGATGTCCTTTGTTAGCAGAGCTCCATCCAGGGGTTTTGACCCAGAGGGCCGTTGACTGCAAACGCACTGATTTACGAAACTGACACTTACCTACATATATTCGGCCACTTATTTAAGCTCCATTTGCTATGGTGCACCAGTTTGGGCTGACAGAGCTACTATAGGAGCCGCTCGACGGAAACTACTCCAAAGTCAACGCCTTGCATTGAATTTTCTTTGCAAAGCTTACAGAACTGTGAGCACGGAAGCTCTGCCAGTCCTGGCTGGTGTACTGCCGGTCGACTTAGAGGTACAAAAGCGTGCGGCTATGTACTTCGCATCNCATAGCGGGAATGCATTTGCCTAGTATGGGTACGACTTATACGAATACATTATACAGGGTGTTTCTTGTAAGGTGCCAAGCCGAAGGCAGGTGATAGGTGAGGACTAGACCTATCGATTTCACCCCCATGTATGTTCTACGATTTTTCATANATGGAGGGAAGTCGAACCTTAATTTCGAACTCCTCCTATGTTCTTCTGATTAATTTCGTTGCGGGTCCAATGACAGTTTAACTTTCCCCCGGGACAAACTTGACCTTCATTGGTTGGGTTTTTTTGTGGCGGTCAAGCTGTAGATCCTGGCTACACAGGAGTTGCAGTGGTGGGAACGAGAGGTGGGAATAGTCCCGTACTTACCTACATGAAATATAATAATTGTAATTATTGTCGTTGAATATAAGTATTTACCTATGTTAATATAAGTATATAATTATTTACCTATGTTAATATGATTTCATGCGTAAACTCGGCTTCAAAGAAAGGAACAGAATCGGGCCATCACGCTCAGGCAGTCTTATCGTTAGGAAGCAATCTCCTCCAAACAACGCGGGGATGATGACGTGACACTTTTGTGTCTCTTTTGTGCGAATAAGGATTCAGCACAGAACATAGGTCTTTCTATATTCTGTGGAATTAAGTTAGGCCCGAACACAATTTTGTTTTGATGTTGGTTACCAAACCATGGACTTTTAACCTTTGTCCAGGCTTAGCTACCGTATTTCATGCATAAATGGGTAGTTTTCTATCTGATTTCTAGACTTAAGTAAGTAAACGTTATTTGGATCTACAAAATGAATAAGACGTAGTCTTCGAGTCTTTTGACCGTACACACTGAAAACCTATTTTTTTATAGAAACATTTCTTATCACTATTATGCTATTTATGATACTTAATTGGCACCCGTTTTAATTACATCAGTGTAATTAAGACTTTATCTCTGCAGTATGCATACGCAGTAATTAAGCATCGCTCATTACCCACATAATATGGAGCGCATAGCATAGACTTATTTTAGAAAAAGTCCCCTAGCCAGACTATCGTGTTGTTACTTACTAGATTTACCTTCCTAACGCTGGGTTGCACCATCTTACTTTAACAAACGTCAAAAATCTGTCAAACTCCATACAAAAACCACCGGTTATCGTTAAAGTTACGGTCAAGGTTAGGTGGTGCAATTCAGCCTTATAATCTTTGTTGGTTACAAAGATTTCAATCTGCGTTGCGTTGCGTTACGTTATGCTATGCATAGGTCGTCATCACCTATGATTTCATCTATGTACATAAATACAAGTCACTGAATGCTTTATAAGTTTCTCAGTCAATCTCAAGCAGCACTAATAGACATATTTTTTTGTTTGCAAATCTATAAAAATGAATCGCAAAATGTGTTGGTAAGCAAGCGCATACTCAACAACGCCTGGACCAATTTTACTAATATTTTTTTAAATGTTCGTTGAAGTCCAATGATGGTTTTTACGGCGAGAAAAAGTCGGATAATCCGGGAAAACCCCGGGGGAAGCCCCGGGCGGAAAACTAGTTTTCAATAAATATCTTCATAAACATGTTATCTAGGACTAGACAAGATTCTAGGTAATATTATGTAATTGTGTATGATTCACGTTTTTGCTGTATTTCAGTACGGCTAGCACGAAAAACTTTCGAGTTCGAATCGTTTGCGTATTCGAATCGCCATCAAAAGATTTAGTACGTACGAAAACTACAACTGCGCCCTTGTGAACGTGTCGTAAAGTGAACCTAGCATGGTTGCACGAAACTTATTTTGAGAATCAAAATTGTCACGTTATCTTTTCATTCGAAGGTTGAGTATAGAATTTTGTCGAATACGCAAACGATTCGAAGACGAAAGTTGTTCATGCTAGAGGTACAGTCGGTAGGTAGTTTATTCGTATTGAGTAGATGTAGGTAGATACTTGCGTTTTCTAAGCATATAAAACTGGTAATCTCCATTTTTCATTGTTCTCCAGTCGGGCAGTATGTTTACAAATAACCTGTCTGTCCATTACATCGGAGAAATTGATCGATGATACAATGCGCCTGAGTCGTTAGACCAGTATTGTTCAAAGGAAAGTAACTGGCTATTCAGCAAATGTATAATGTACATGCATAATATGAGTGCCTATTGTATTTATAAAAGTTATAATTCATTATGTTACGTATTTCAGGTTCTATTTATGTGAAAAGTGAAGGTAGGCACATTATCTGTTCAAAAATACAACGTGCTCCTTTTGTTTTCCGGAAATTTTAGGGGTATATTCTATAAATAAAAACTAGTTAAAGAGTCTTTTAGGCATATTTGTTTCTAAAAGCATATTTAGGAAGATATTGTGGATTCTAGATTTAGAAGATACCTAGTTGATTTAGATTATAGTACCTATCAATATAGTTTTTTTTTCAAAATTGTCACCTAGTCTTTTTGTGCTGACTTTTTATTGATAAGTGTATGTAAATTTGAATTATTTCAGTGAAAAATTAAGTTTTTAAATAATTTCGTATGAAAAAATAAGTCGAAAAAAATTGTTGAATTTAACAAAAAATGTAATGCCATTCCATTCTTTGAAGTGGTCTTATTAATACCCTAGAGTTCCAGGAAATCAAAAAGAGCACGTTGTAGGTATAGGAAATTTTAGTTTTTTTGGGATTAAGTATTTATTTATACATCTACATTATTATTGTCGCGTTTAAAATACTTAGTCCCTAATAAACTAGCCCTCGTGTCGTGTCCCTAGCGCTTCTTCTAAGTCTCAAAATACTTCTTTTAAACTCGATCTTTGAGATAGCCTTTTAAATCTTTCAGCGACGCGCGTGTAATGTCACTTATGCCTGTAAAACAACGTTGTTGGGACTTTTTTTGATTTATTGCGAAGTGAACTTTGGTAGGTCTTTACATATTATTTTTCAACATAAAGAGAGCAGAATATCTTGATTTAACTATGCTTTTTTAGGTATGGGGTTGTATAAGGAGCTTTTCTCTAACGATGAGGTGAAAATTAATTAGTTTAAAAGCTTAAAGTAGGAAAAATACGACCAGTTTTTAAGGAATTGTTTATGAAAATTTGATATCGATAGCTGTTTGAGTAACTGGAGCACGGCAAGGAAGTGAACTTACAAATAAGACGTGAAGCGAGTGCCAATACACTTTGACATTATTAAAAACAAACAAGGCCGACTTGTGTGCGTTCCTGTGAAAACCTGACTTCATTAAGACAGGTATTTAATTTTTACTAAATAATTAAATGGCATGGTGAAGTGGGATGTGTTAAAGCGCTTTTTAATGAAATTAAGTGACTAAAAGTTAGTGACTTTATGACGGTTTGTTGATATTTTCAATTCTAAATACCTAAGTAAAATCGAAATCATTAATCCCGATGAATTTAATTGTTTTTCTTCTTTTTTTTTACAAGCTTTTTTCATAATCTAACATCGTATGACATAGTAACTAGTAGGTAGGTACATATCCTACTTACTAATATTATAAATGCGAAAGTTTGGATGTCTGGATGGATGTTTGTTACTCTTTCAAGCAAAAACTACTGAACGGATTTTGATGAAACTTTATAGTATTATTGTTTATAACCCAGAATAACTATATAGCTATAATTTATGACGATATGTGACAAACTAAATTTCACGCGGGTGAAGCCGTGGGCAAAAGTTGTTTGTTATAAGTTATCTATGTCATAGAATAACATTATTTTACTTGGTGAATCAAGTTTTGCATTGTGTTTAAGATGATTTAGACTGATACTAGTTTACGTCCTGTTCATGGACAATAACTGACATCATAAGAATGGTGTTTCTTATCTAATATCTCTAGTTAGATACTTAAGTTATTTACTTACGTAAGTTTTATTTACCTATTAATAATCTGCAGCATATTGCGGCGGATTTATTTCTTATTGTGTTAATTGAAAAATGTCACATCTGTAATATTTTTTCTTGACCTTTATGTCGGCCGTTTGGTGTAGAGGTTCAGAACGGACTACTATGCCGAGAGGTCCCGGGTTCGATTCCCGGCCGGGCAGAAATTGAAATGATGAATTTTAATTTTTGTGACGGGTCTGGCTAAGCTACTACCCATAACAAGCATAATTATAAGTTACTTTGGGGCTAGCCGGCGATGTGTAAAATTGTCCAAAGATTTATTATTATTATTTTTTCTTTATCGTATAAATTTGAGGCTACTTTTTGACAGTAAACTGGTGGTTCACCACGTAGACAATACTAGTTACATTTTCGGGTTCAAATTCCGCAAGTGGAAAAATAAAGTATGTTAGTGTGATTAGATACGATATTATTAGTAACCAAGCAGGTTTAAATAGCAAATGGTCCTAATGTTGAAATCTAAGTAAAGCGATGTAACGATTTCAGTACCTACAGTAAAATACATAATATTATGAAACATTATGAAATAAACAGGCTCATTTATTGGAATTTTGACTGTTTACTGTAACAGGTACCTACTCTATCAGATAATGCTTAACCGCTATGTTATACTTACCTATCTATTATTTACAAATACTTAGAATTTGAAAAGGAATCGGTGACTCAATTCAAGTGTCTCTCAGTTGACTGATGACAAGTTTTGTTGAGCTCAGTGTACAAGGCCATAGGTTTTTTGTAAATTAAAAATACAAGTACTTATATGAAGGTAACTTTGAAATAATAATTACCTATGTCTATCTACACTACAGTTCAACAGTCATCTCTCTCAGCAATAAAATTAATTGTAACATTCATTCGTGGAGCTAAATTTTGAGACAAGTTATTTATTAATTCCTTGAGAAGAATATTTCGGTAATTCTAAAAGGTTTAAGGATTGAAATATGAAGGAGCAATTAGTTTTATATGATTTAATAAGCTGTACCATAAACGAAGTAAATAACTGTATATGATCCCACGCTTTTGCCAAAATTTTGCCGAAAAGGAGTCATTAGTCACAAAATCAGATTTTTCATAGTTTGTTTTTGTCAAGGATTCTGGGTTTGTTTTTTTTTTTTTCAAAAATTATGTAATAAATGTGAGTGCTTCTTTCTGAGTGATTCTTTAACAGATCTACAGTAATAAGTTGGAAGCATTGATCCGATTCTGGATCTTTTCATGAGTCACGAGAGATTGATATTTTTGGAGGGTAGGCACGCAAAAAAAAATGTATTTCGAGAAACATATTAAATTGGCGTTTGTAGAATTTTAATAAAGTGAAGCTAGATGAAAGCATAGCCATTAACTGTTCGTGTAACGTGATAATAGTGTAGGAAAATGAAACAGAAGAGGGCAATCACATCAAATTATGTGTCCTAATTAGGTTGGTTTGGTTTCGTTCACTACCTAGTGCGCAAAACGAAAAGGGTTTATGTATTAATAAGAAATAAATAAATTGCCTTGGACATTTTACACATGAGTGACAAAATGTGCAAACCGCACGAAGCCAAAATTAAAATTAACAATTAATTACCTTTGCCTGAAAGTAAGATGAAAGTACAAAGTCATAATTTGAACGAAAAAAAAGTAAGTTGTCATTTAAGTCATTTATTTACTTTATGGTGGGTACCTACTTGAAAAACATTATTTTTAGAAAGATATTCTATTAGTAGAATTTTAAGATAAACTAAACTGTAAAGTGAAGTAAAAAGTGTAACGTAATTAATTTTCTGCTTACTACAACAGTGTACACTACATGAACTCACTGCTCACGAAACTTTTAATATTTTGATCGTGTTACAACTTCAGGAGTGTTTCAGTTAAGCTGGACCCAGTCCCAGAACCGTTGCATCTTAGAAGATAGGTACTAACATGTAAGTTTTAATCATCATCATCATCATGTCAGCCATAGGACGTCCACTGCTGAACATAGGCCTCCCCTAATGCTTTCCACGTTGATCGATTGGTAGCGGCCTGCGTCCAGCGTTTCCCTGCTACCTTTACGATGTTTAGGCCCAGCGTAAGTTTTAATAAATTATATTAATTACTAGCTGACCCGGCGCACTCTGTTCCGCCTTAAAGGCAATAAATAAGCCATCGCAATTTTTCCTTATTTGCTCACCGTTTAGACCTACCCTGGACTACGACAAACATTTTAAAACCAAAATCAGCTCAATCGGCCCAGCCGTTCTCGAGTTAATCAGACTAACGAACAGCAATTCATTTTTATTTATATATATAGAAGACTAGCGGCCGCCCGCGACTTCGTACGCGTGGATCCCGTTTTACCCCCTTTTCCCGAATTTTCTTTGCTATAAACCTCACGGAGCCCGAGACCTTTCCAACGAATGCAAAACCGTGGAAATCGGTTCGTGCGTTCTGGAGTTATAGCGTCAGGGAGGAAAACCCGACTTATTTTTATATAGTAGATATATTTAAATAGATAACTAATACACACCGTGCACTACCCCGGCGAAAGCACAGACACACAAACACACAATCACCCGCGTTAGCTCCATAGCGGTTACGTTACTACTGGCAGCCTGCGCGAGCGCACGCTTATATGTGCTTATATGCAATGACTCAAGGAGCAGTGCGGTGCAGAGGTTGTGGAGGCCGGTGTTCGATTCCTGTAGCGTGTAATTGTGAGTTTTGTCTTCCATTATTGTGAATTGTGACTGAATTATGGATTAAAATTTGCCATACGTACTGTTAAGTTACTTTAAGTTGTATTATTATTATGTAACGCCGTTGGTTTATTAATAAAAAAAAAATTGATTTTTTTTTCTAGAATATCTCGTTTTACAAAGCAGGAGAGAAATGTCGAAAATAATGATATTGTACAATCTCTATGTAGTTACTTAGATATTTCAGTTCAGTATGAAGATTTCAGTACCTAACTTAATATTTTTTTAATGAAAAAGCCAAGCCAAAGTTTAGTTCATATATTTACTTTTTTTCTTTGCAGTCTATTCATAAAAGGAATTAATTGCATCAACAATGTTATTGTCGGTAAAAAATATCGACTTCGAGGGTAGGTGGGTAAGTCGGTTGAATTTTGCCACATGAATGGTGTTAATTGTGGATTCAGCTATGTCAGATGCCTATGGCTTAAAAATTTGATAACCTAGTAGGTATCAATCATACAATTTATAGCAGAAAAATTCAACATTCTACCAAATCGTTACTCTTTTATCATTTCGTTTTTACGGTAGCTAAAATTTGCTCACTGGAGCGACATGAATTGGAAAAGGCAATATTGGCAATTATTTCACATTATTTAGTGAACAATAAATGCCACGAGCGTTAGTGCCGGTGGCAAATTGGATCCGAAATTGACTAGTAAATAAAATAGGGGCCTTTTAGGGACGACTAAATTGGGCGCGTATAAAAGTTGAATTGTTAATAAAAAGCTTCGATTGAAGGTAGTTTTATGTGACGAATGTGCAATAAAATAAATGTAATGAATGGATTTTTTAAAAAAGCTTGCTATTCGCGACCATCCATGGATTTTGTATGGCAAAGTAAATCATACGTAGTATTCGCGATCTCAATTAACTTTAATTGATTTCAAAGCGACTGAATATTGAATTAAACAACAAATTGAAGATAGACTTGTTTTAGTTCTAAAGTGGTTATTTTTAAAGAAGTTGTTTCTTAGAATAATTGGTATAAAATGGTGTAAACCTATAAACTACCCAATTGGTGTAGTTTTAGCGTTCGTTCATTCGTTTCAGCCAAATGACGTCCACTGCTAGACAGACGACCTACGACCGATCCTGCCCGCATCCAGGTACTTCCCGCGAGTTTCTCCAGATCGTCGGTCCACCTAGTGCTGTAGCAGTAGCTGCCCACACTTCGTCTTCCGGCCCGTGGTCGCCACTAGAGTACTTTTATAACAGCCTTCACCTCCCGGGCAGACGCCTTATTGTATAAAATCAAATAAATCGCATTCCACTGGAAATCGAACCTGGTCTTTCCAAAAAGATGCCATTGCGCCATCCATACACTAAGTACGATATAATGTCAAGAGCGCAGCATCACACATCCCATTGATGCGCGGCCGCATGACGTCACGACTCACCTCGCCGCGCGGTAAAACCATTCATAAAATGGTAATGCCCAGTACAGTCAGAGAGCGACAAAATTAAAATTCATATTTAGTTACATATGAGTGGGTAGAAAAAAATTATAGTGCTTTCAGTATAGGTAATGAAGGTCTTCTTGCCTTCGTAAAATTAGTCGTGCTGAGTTTTAGATCTGAAAATGCTCAATGGCAATTTCAAGCGTCTTTTTTTACAATTCAAGACAGACGGAAAGCTCAGCTTTAACTTCGCTTCTTGCTTAAAAAGCTTCCATACATTCCCTTATATTTAAGCACATTTATACTAATTCAAAATAGATTTTACCTTTTTAAACATTTAATAACATCGATTCTTAGTTATCCTTGAACAATAACAAATGCATTGTTTCTATTTTTGACATCTAAGGATCCTCATAAGTTTGAACAATCACAAACTACGACCCATGCGGGTGGACAATCAGTCAAGACGTTGTTTTGACGCATAAACACTCGGTCTGACGTAGGGCCTATGCGGGCGACCTTTAGCACGAGAAATATTGCTGATCTGCTAGTTATAAATCTGGGCGTTGACAGGGTACCTAGGTATTCCTTGACCGTGGTACAGCTGAGTTATATTAAAACAGCGATTCGATTAGAAAACGATACCTACTTTCTTTGGCTCGCGTCTGGGAGTGTTAGAAGCCGCCCTCGTAAATCTCGTCACAAGGATGTAGTTTGTTAGACGAGACAATGACAATTATTGTGTGTCTGGCGCATATTTATTTGAGGAGAACCGGAAAATGCGATGGACTTGGATGCGTTAGCCTACTCTATTTGATTTCAATAGGAACGATAATCGTAAAAGCGCTTTTTAAAAAGCTTGTTTTATAAATAAGAATGAATATTTTTATGGACTTTTATGACTTTGTGAAAAAATAAGTTTCTATTTGCTAATGACAAAAATGATCGGTATTTTTAGTCCCATGCTTCATCATTCTAAAGTCGCATTATTTTTGGATGTGACTATAGTCAATTAAGATAATTTTCAAGAGCTGTAAAAACTTTGTTTTTCTTCATTCGTACATTATGTAGAGCGTGCACGTAACAGGGTTGAACCTTTTTTGCATAATTAACGAAAGTACAAGACGAAGCTTATTGATTTCATGAAATAATTAATTGACCGAAAGTTTAATTTAATCAAATACACGAAAATGATGAAAAAATGATTTTCAATTTGAAATCATCGTTCTTTTAGTGAGTTCAAGAACCTGATTTTGATCTCAGATCTCTAATCCAATACCTAATTATCTAATGCACGCTTATCTTTGGTTTGTGGCATCTCCCCTCGCTGCACCCTTACCCAAGATTTCAGAATCAGCCTCTGAAAGGGGATAGAGAAAGGTGTTCGGGATTTGCCAGATTTCATGGGGTAGATAGGTTTCAAGATAACTGGAATAAAGTTCATTTTAAAATGGAGTTGAAGTAAACTAATCATTTAGTTGTGTATAAGATTGGAATCGAGCTGATGGATGATTTAAACTTTAAAGGTTAATGGTATTAACATGGAACAGCCAATCGCTTCACGTATTTATTTATTTTTAAAATTTGTAGTTTCAAAACGTTTGTCCGTAAAATATAATTAAATAAGATTTCTTCTGTTATCTTACCTCAGTTGCTATTGATGGGTAGGTAGGTTACTTCTTTGTTATAATATTTATTCTCACGCATTCATATTGTTAATAGAAAGTGTTGTAAAACTACTAGACATTATTCTTGTCGTTATTATACTTAAACATAATATAATACTGTAAACTTGCATAATTGTAACGTAATCGAAACAATACCTACTTGTTTATATTTAAAGACACAGTAGGTATAAATATTTTCTTAAACTGATTCTATTGCAAAAAAAAAACTCGTTTATATTGTTTCAATCCTCCAATAAACTAAACGTAATAATTTACGAGGTTTTACATTAGATGAAACCTGGGAAAAATTGCGAAAAAGTTCAGAATAATTTATTATATGCAGACAAATCCGCAGCAAGTAACTCTACCTCATTTTTATTTTTACAGAAATAAAGTAGATTCCCATTTCCCACAATCGTTACCGGTTTCTTATTGCATTATGCAAATTTTATTTAAAAACGAATACCTACTTGTTTCCTTGCCATACTGGCCTAATTATTTTACATTAACCTTCCAGGCGCCACTAGTGACTTTTGGAAACTTCTTTTTATTTCTTTCGTTTGTTCGTTTCAGCCAAATGTCGTCCACTGCTGGACAAAGGCCTCCCCCAAGGATTTCCACAGCAACCGGTCCAGCGCCGCTCGCATCCAGGCACATCTCTGCTCTTTTATTTCTTTTCCTTAGGCTAGATGGAATAGCACTAAGTACGAACATACTTTACATAAGTATTTATATTTATGTAAACTTTAAAACTTTTCTTTTCACACTTTGGTGACGTGTTATATCTACGCAATAAATTCTGCAAGAGACCGCTGAAAACTGAAAATATCTTGACATTTCGTAACTAGGCGTTTTTTGTAACCTTAAAACGTCAACGTGTGTATCCGAAAAGATCGTATCCCATACAAAGTTAAATTAACCCTATTATAACTCGCTCGCTGAATCCTATATCCAGTACGGCTTAAGTAGTTATGGTCGCTCTTACAACAGTTACTTAAACAACATTCACAAGCTTCAACTAAGAATATTAAAACGAATAGTTTCTAACGTAATTAGAGAACAATTTAAGGATAATGAAACTGGAATATTTAATCACTGTAAAGTTTTGCCTGTTCAACTCCGATTCAAGTATAACATTTTAAAAGAACAATATTTTAATACAACATTTCGTAAGAAAGTAGAACACCCGGTATTTACTCGTGCTATTGCCCGTGAGCGCCTACAGACAACACAAGCTCGGAATGTGTATGGTGAGCGAACGACGCAGTACTTGGTTCCGCGACTTATTAACGAACTACCCGCTACTTTAAAAGATAATTTAAATGAAAATAACATTAAGTCCAAGCTAAGGTCGTTTTTTCTGGAACATATTTCATAGCGGAAATGCATTTGCCTAGTATGGGTACGACTTATACGAATTTTTTATGTTTCTAGCAAAAATTTTGTATCTTGCATCAAAGATAGGAAGTTGATTATTTTTTTCAAAAATCTGCAATTAATAGGGAATCTGTCAAAAAAAAGAAATCTGAGAAAAGTTGACCCAAAAAAAGATAAAAAAATTTAAAGCCTACTGGGTCATACAATTTGAAAAAATCACAAAATTAACGATAACTTCTAAACTATGAAAAATCGTAGAACATACATGGGGGTGAAATCGATAGGTCTAGTCCTCACCTATCACCTGCCTTCGGCTTGACACCTTACAAGAAACACCCTGTATAGTAACCTCTTGGTAAATCGGCTCGACAGGGATGCCTATATATGAAAATTGTAACTTTTATTATGTTTTTTCTTTGTTTCTCTGTAGAACGCAACTGTTAGACTGACCGCATCAAGCATTGAAAACAAACCTCAGTGGTTTATGCCAATGCATTTAATTGTAATATGTTTAAGAACTTCCTTTGTAAAATGATAATAAATAAAAAAAATTAAAAAAAAGGTACATAATAACATAAATACTGAAAATTAAAACACAATTTTTTTTAAATTTCGAGAGTAATGGGGCTTTTGCTTGTAATTTATTAAAGTTGTTAAATTACTTAAGCAACTATCTATCTCTAAACATTACTGAAAAAACTGGTCGCTTGTTTAAACCCAGTAAAGGCTAATGTTCGTTTGATAGTACAAGCAGTTCATTAGAATTATTGATTTTATCTTCTTTCTTATGTATTACAAGCCTTTAATAGTTTCTAAATAAGTTTTTTGTCGCGGCATATCCTTGTCACATGTCATGATGAGACTTGATATGCCATCAGATAATTTAGTATTTCGAGTAACGCGGTAGCGAGACAACTTTCGAAGATTCACTTTCAAATTAATTTCACTTTGTTAAATCTACCTGTTGTGTGTATTGTGTAATTTAATTTAGAAGTGTCAATCAAATGGTAATCTTGATAGTTGATAAGAAGATATCACTTTATTCCTACCTATTATTTTTATATTACTCGTACATCTATACTCGTATCAATATGACGGCATTACCTTACTAACACGCATTAGGCTGAGTTGCACCACCTTATTTTAACCGTAACTATAACCATATCCGGTGTTATTTGTATATGTATCAAACTCCATTGATAAACTTTTGACGTTTGTTATAATTAAAGTAAGATAATGGGTGTGGAGTTCCACAAGGAAGCATACTGGGCCCTATTCTTTTCATATTATACATCAATGATCTACCCAAAATAACAAAACACAAATCTATTCTCTTTGCTGACGATACTACTCTAATTATAAAGGGAAGGGATGCGGACTATCTAGAGACTGAAATAAATACAACTGTTAAGCGAGTTATTAAATGGCTAAGCGAAAATAATCTAAAAGTAAATATTGACAAAACTAAAATAATGCAATTCAGGACATATCAATCTCATACACCTAATATTAAAATAGATTATGAAGGACAAATAATACAAAATGTACAAATGACTGAATTTTTAGGAATATTGATTGACGAAAACTGTAGTTGGAAATTACACATAAACCAAGTATGCGATAAATTAAGTAGATTCGTATTTGCTCTGCGAAGGCTTAGAGAAACTGTTTCTGTAGAGGTTGCTTTAGAAGCATATCACGCATACGTCGTCTCTGTTTTACAATACGGCTTAATAATATGGGGGAACTCTACTGATATAGAAATAGCGTTTAAAATTCAAAAAAAATGTGTCAGAGCTTTAAGTGGCGCTGACTACATTGATCCCTGCAGACCATTGTTTAAACGTTTTAAACTTTTGACATTATCTTGCCTTTACATTAAACAAATTTGCTTGTTTGTAAGACAACATTCCCAATTTTTTTCTTTAAAACTGCCATTTGAAGGGAAATCTCTTCGAAAACGCCCTACAGGATTGCTTGAAGTCCCCTTCTGTAGACTAACGCTAAGTAATAAGAATGCATTTTCAATGGCGGTGAAAGTATATAATGCTTTACCCGAAGAAATTAGGACACTTGCAGGGCCTTTATATAAAACCAGATTGCATGCATGGTTATTAGAAAATACGTTTTATACTATGAATGAATATTTCAATCGAAAATGACATTTATTACTTATTTTTAATTATTCTTTTAATGGCATTATTTTATTGTTTGATTTAATTTATTTTGATTGTTTTGACATTGTTTTATTTTTTATATTTCTGACATATTTAATTATTTTCATGTAGTAAATGACATAATATTTGTAATTTATTCTTGTAGAAATTATTTAAATATTTGTACGCTGACTAATTATACAGCAAATTTTGGCGATCTACTTATACTAGTTTTAAGACCACTATGTTTACCCAAAATTGTGCAAATAAATATTTGAATTTGAATTTGAATGCAACCCAGCCTTAATACCTACCTGTATACCTATGTACTATCGGCAACAGTGTTAACTGCCTATTGCCAGTCATGTCATCTCGTTCTGTTGCAAAGAATCACCATTTGATGAGAGCGAGTTGTGGCGAGAGTAAAAACGGAAATGGATAGTTAACAGTGTGGCCGTGTGTACCTACCTACTCTTAGGTAGGTAATAAGTCAATATTATTCTGGTGACATGATTTCAATTTGAATTTGTATTGTATGCGACTATATTCCTGAGATTTTTGTTAGTTATAAGAAATCGAATGATAATAGCTCTTAAAAACCTTTTCTCCAGACTGTAATTCTTAATTCCGATAGTTGGAACCCCGAAGATTTACTCTACGGCTAAAGATCTCTAATTTTCCTTTCATGCATTCATACATATTTCCAGGTTTTAGTAATGCTTAATAAATAATTTGTTATATTTTTTTGTCTTACTTCTAGCAGATAAAAGGACAAAGGGAATTGAAATAGAAAAATACACATTTGTTTGAAATGCACTATATTTCAAATCAGTTGCAATTAAATATTACAAACCGTTTTAAATGTATTAAAACTATCGCAACGTAAAGTTTATAAGAAAATAGTTAACTTTTTACATAAAATAACTATTTAATGTGCAACAATCCCTCGTGAATACCAAACCATGGGCAAGCAGGTCTCGGACCAAAGGAGTTTGTGGTTTTAATAAAATTCATTTATTTACAACACCAAATGAAGGCTGACTTTTAATGAAGTAGCACATAAACAAATGAAACTTTTCATTGTCATCGATTTGTGTCAATGAATTTTAAAATAGAAAATCGTTTGGTACGAGATCTTTTGGTGGCCACGGTAAGGTTTTAATAAATATAAATAAAAATTTTGATCTGTTGACGTTAAGGTAAGAGTCCTAGAGTCATAGAGACCATGGCATGCTCGAATGTTTCATGTAAAAACTTACGGAAAAACGAGCTAAAATATACGCCTTTTAAAGAGCTTTTAGTGTGGCCTTTAGTCTCAATGAAGTCAATGAAGTAAAGTAATATAATATTATGTAACACAAAATATATTAAAACGTTAAAGTGGCCACCAATCAAACACTGACTAGACTATAAAACCGACCAGCGCTAAATAAAAGCGTTCCAGAATAAAATAATATTAAGGTACAGTTACAACGCGGTCGAGTTAACTGCGTACCTTGTTGGAATGCGACTCTCCCTCGTACATCTTTCCGCGTTCGCCCCAGAGACGTGACGTCACGGTTATCAGGTGCGCAGTTAAAGTTAACTCGACCGGGTTTTACAAATGCTCATAAAATGTCATCCTTATTAGCATGCTTAAAACGAGCGTGCTCGAACAAATTGAAATGAGCATGCTTAATATTAACAATGTTTCGACACACATGCTACTAAGTAGCAATTGCTCAATGATGACATGCTTTATGCTAGTAATGAGCATGTGTAATCTGTAGTCCTATTTGCAAAACCACGTATGAGTTTGGCAAGAAAAACATGCACGCAATAAGAGTCGAAATTGGTATAAATAAATTATGTAAGTACCTTATCTTTCATTAAAACAACTAGGTTATCTGGTATTTGTTGCAAAATTTGTGCGTTTTAAGTCTGTATAAAATTCACAAATACAATTGTATAAGTCGATGAAGAATTTTTTTTACGAAAAAGAGGAAATAAAAGTCGTATATTTTATTGGGAGGACGAACTTTTTTGTATAAAACTACTTATCAAAAGCATTTCAAATGTAAACATGAGTAATAAGATTTTTAACATGGATGGTTATATTGCTATTGCTTATAATTTGCAAATAGGCGTTTGAATGGTATTTGTTACATCTGTACAGTTACATATAAAATATATGCATTTTGGCGGGTTTGTTTATTTTATTCGATCCATTAACTATTCACAGTAGTATAATACAATAATACGCGTGAAAATGTAAGGAACGAGTAAATGAAAGGCACAAATAATTTAAGTACCTATATCAACCTCTAAATGAAGTACATTGTAATCTTAAACCTACAAAAATATGTTATGTATTGCATATTGTAATTTTACAAACACCCAACGAAGTTACAATTACAATCCATAAATAAATGTAAATTCATTTGTTACAATAAACAAAACATTCATTTAATGAAATTGTGGTCCTTTACTTACAATTCCTTTTAATTTTACTCATGTCTAACTTAAATAACATATTTTGCACGAATAAATGAATACAATAAAACCACTTACATAGTAATATTATTTTACAAAATTTACTTTCTATATACCCAAAACCCAGTATCATATAGCCAGCTATAATATTTTTGGCACACTACTACATAACTAAATTCGAAAACAACTAAACTAAAGTACCTACTCGTTACAATTTTAGTCTTTTACATACTATGTACATAGGAACAACGTTGTGTTTTGCATGTACTTTAAGTTATGTACATTTTATATACACTGTAGTCCATTAGGACTTCGATTGGTATCGAAAATTAAAATAAAAACGTTTCTAATTCTAATGGTTTTAATTTTCAAATTAAGTTGCTTCCAAAAACCAAATTTAAAAGCGGTGTATAACGTCTGTTTTAAGTTTTGACTCTGAACTATGTTGGTGACATAAATGCAACCATTGCAAACTTTAAGCTTAGTTAGAGCTCTTATTGCAACTTTAAATCTGGCTAGATTGGTGAAACCATTGGAAAATGACCTATATCACTTTAAGGATTGGTTTTACACATTAACCAGCTCTGATCCATAAATGCTACCATTGGAAAGTGACCTTCATAACTTTATTGATGTAATACGCTAACTAGCCAACAGTTCTGATCTGTTCATGTTAGTACCATAAATGCAACCATTGGAAAGTGACCTTTATGCTTCTAAGCATTAGTATCACACACTCTAGTCAATGCAGCTGTAACCTGCCCCGTTGGGTCAACCATTGTAAAATGACCTTTATGACTTTAAGCTTTATTAGAGCTATAATGCAGCTGACCTGGCTAGTTTAGTGCAACAATTGGAAAATGAACTGTATGCTCCTAAGCATTAGTAGCTATCACACTCTAGCCAATGCAGCTGTAACCTGCCACGATGGGTCAATTATTGTAAAATGACCTTTATGGCTTTAAGCTTTATTAGAGCTCTAATACAGCTCTGACCTGGTTAGTTCGATGAAACCATTGGAAAAAAGACCTACGCTTATAGTCTAGGCATTAGTATCACACACGCTAGCCTAATCAGATGTAACCTGGCCAGTTTCGTGCAACCATTGGAAATAACCTATATGGTCTTTTAACATTAGTGTGATACAGTAGCCAATGCAGCTTTATCGTGGCCAGTTAAAAATGACCTACATGCCGTTAAGCATTAGTATCACACACACTAGCCAACGCAGCTCTGTCTATACTGGCGTATTCTTTTCCAGAGCGAGGCCGCGTCAAGTGCCGGTCTGCTGATACGTCACAGGAGCTGAAGGAAGACACCGAGAGAGACTCCATGTAGTCGGAGGTGTCTGAGGCGCCGCTTGAGGTGCTCTTGTTGGTCAGCTGGCTCAGGCGCGCTGTGATGTCAGGGTCTACTGTGGAAGAAAGGAACGGTTAAGGTTTCAAGTTCGTTCGTTCGTTCGTTTCAGCCAAATGACGTCCACTGCTGGACAAAGGCCTCCCCCAAGGTTTTCCACAATGAACGGTCCTGCGCTGCCCGCATCCAGGCTCTTCCCACGACCTTTACCAGATCGTCGGTCCACCTAGTAGGAGGCCTGCCCACGCTACGTCTTCCAGCCCGTGGTCGCCACTCGAGAACTTTCCTGCCCCAACGGCCATCGTCACTACCAGCTATGTGCCCCGCCCACTGCCATATGTTTCAAGTTCACATGAAGTAAAATCTATACTCTATTGATACTAATATTATAAATGCGGAAGTAACTCTGTCTGTCTTGCTTTCACGCCTAAACCACTGAACCGATTTTGATAAAATTTGGCATAGACATAGTTTGAGTTCCGGGGAAGGACATAGGATAGTTTTTATCCCGGTTTTTGAAACAGGGACGCGCGTGATAATGTTTTTCTGTGACAGACAAAATTCCACGCGGGCGAAGCCGCGGGCGGATAGCTAGTTTTAAATAAATTTAAAATATCAAATAGCTTGAAGCCGGATCCAGACGGGCGTAATGTGTAATGTAAGATTACGTTTAATGTAACACGAATTCTACGTGTGGACGGCACTAAGAACATTACATGTAAAGTGCTGCCCATACTATTTCAATTACATTACACGATATATTGCATTGCGTGATACACCCGTCTGGATCCGGCTTAAAGGCGGGAATTGAACCCACGACCTTTCGCTTGCCGGGCGAAGGCTCTTCCAACTAAGCTACTCGTACTTAGACTAGAGATGAAACGGATATCCGGTAACTATCCGGTAGGCCGGATATCCGGCCTAAATTTACTATCCGGCCGGATACCGGATATTAACTCACTATCCGGCCGGATACCGGATATTAAAAATTTACGACAATTTCCTATTAATAAAATGAAATACATTGATCTTTGAGGTAAACATCAATAAAATGGCTTATAATAATGACGGCTTTTATTTAAAGTCCACAAAGTTACAAAAAAGCCATATTAAGGCAATTAAAAAAATTAATTTCTTTTTCTGGGCTATTCACTCTAATGACGAATACATAAATAGTAAATATCTGTTTATGTCGAAATAATGCCAAATAAAATAGGCGATCTTTTTTTCACTGATGGTAGTGAAGTGATGGTCTGATGTCATGACGCATTACAGTCAGATTACGCAGCAAGTTAACTAATTTAATTTTCGCTGTTCAATCACACACTCACGATGGCAACCGAAATCGCCTGAATTGATCTGCCCCCTAGACAACTTGTCTAACGCCCGATTCCCATATTCAATCCTTGTCCAAATCCGGATTACAACTGTCAAATTGAATTCAGTTTTAGATTATATTTCCAAAATTTTCGATGCATTTACACTTTAATATTGTTTAAATAGTCTTATAAACAATATAAAAATGTAAAAACATCAAAAACCGCAGTTATTTTGGCCAAAAACATATTAAAATTTGACAGTTGACAATCCAAATCCGTATAATTTGGATTAGGATTGAATATAGAAATCCAGCATAAGACAAGTGGCAAAATCTGAGATTATATTCGGACTGATTCGATTTTCGAAAAGTGTGACTAGTCTAGTCTACTAATAGACCCACTGATCGCGTTTGAAGCACCTGTGCGGCGCTAAACTCGTCACGACATGCAACGAGCCAATGGGCCAACTATCCGGCCGCCGGATATCCGGCTATCCGGCTTAGCAGGTGGCCGGATATCCGGTATCCGGTATCCGGCCAAACAACTATCCGTTTCATCTCTAACTTAGACAGTGGGTGAACCCGCAAATAAAAAAATATAGTCACTTTTCTATTCTATTCGTCTTTTTTTCTATTTCTAGACTAGACACGTTTCTACTCGAGCTCTAAGTAGTAGTGTAATCCAGACAGTAAAGTTGGATACTTAGATAACTTTTACAATTTCGTCAGGATTTAAAGTGACTAAATTTAATTACCCAAGTAATGAACAAGTCTGAAAACTTACGAGACTTAATTTATAATTAAGCTTGACTTTCAACTGCAAGGAGGTCAAAAGAAACTACGAGTTTCATCTCTTAGTCTAAAGATCAACTTTGACTATTTAAAACGAACAATTATGGGAAAAAATAACTTACTAGTTTTCCTCTTCCGCATTGTAAGAGTATCGACGTCACACGAATTCGACTTAGTCAGCGCCGAGACTTCTTCGAAATGAAACGTCAGATTCTTCAGAGGGTCTGACGAATTTGACTTCACAAAGGCCGAATGTACTGGCGTCAAAGATTTCCTCATATTTTGCTTGTTGCACTTGATATGTTTCTTCATGGATTTGGAATTAGTCACGGGCATTTCGAACTCCTTGAAGTCTCCCTTGTGATGCTTCAAAGACCCTGTCGAAACTCCAGAATCATTGGAACTGGAAGAATCCCTATTTTTATCGGATTTACTCGGAACACTTGACGAACGTCGGATCTTGACTGCATCTCTGAACCGAGCCACAAATACGTTCTCACTTTTCAATTCGGGAACTTTGAAGGTTTTGTCTTTGTCTTCAAATTCTGATTTATTCCCTACAGGGATACCTTCGTTTATCCTCTCATTCTTCGTCGCTTTTCTAAGCACAGTAGGCGTAAAACAAATCTGATTGTTCAGGTAGTCATCATCGTGTCTCTTAGTGAAATCTGCCGAACTAGATCTCCTGGTGCTGATGGTGCTGACTGTATCCGAGTGCTGAGTAGGATCTGATACATGGCTGATCCTGCTTATGTTATCTGAACAGTTTTTGTTGCTATTACTTGAAATACTGATTTCTAGAGGCTCCATGTGCATATAATTTAGGTGATCGTTGCAACAGTCCGTTGAAGGGTGCACAGTGTTCGTTGTAGCCGTGGAAATGTCATCGTCATGTTCAGGGATGTCTTCCAATGCATCCAAGTCCTCTTGACTAAACCCAGCGCTTCGAAGGATCTGCAAGGAACTTTCGAACTTCTCTAAAGTGGCTGTAAGGTCTAGGTTCGCGTAGTTATTATACTCGATTCTTATATCAGGTTTTTTGGTAACTGGGGTTACGTTAACGTAATTGGACAGTGCCTCTGCCGTGGATACTTCATTATTATTAACACTAGTATCACATTGGTTGTTGTTGTCCATAGGCTGGTCAGTTTCTTTTTTGGCATCGGTTTGGTTCTGAACGCAGGTGCAGGACTGGCCGTTGATGAGACATTTAAGTTTCTTTGGTGTGTCGTATAAGTTTGATGGGTCTGAGTTGCCATCTATTGGGTGCTCCTGGAAGAATATGAGAAAAATGTGTTATTGAGTGCCGTCACATAGTTTAAGCATATTATATGATAGGGTTTGTGACTTGTAAGTAAGGGTATAAATATGTTAGGAAACGAAAGTATTCGGCAAACCTGATCATAAAAAACTCATTTTATTTTTGCAAGTAGGCTTTTAAAAAGCACTTTTACACATCCCATAACAATAACCCCATCACTGCTTCGGGACAAAAATGGTATGGCAAAGAAGCAGCGCAAGAAACTCAGTCACAATTGAAATCTACTACTATTCGTGAAATCTTTTGTTTCTGCCACTTCATTTCATGTTTCACGGCTTAAAAAAGTTACTGCCATTAACTTTAAGAAAACAATAACTTACTTGTATTAAAGGCATCGGCGTCTTTGGCACGTCATAATTCTCGTAGGGTCCACTGAAGGACTTCTTCCTACAGCAGCAAGGCTTCGGCTGCTGCCAGCACTGGCAGCCGTTGCCGGTCTTGGCTGGTACAGTTGGCGTGCAGCAGGCCACTGGGCTGCCGCGTTTCGATTCGAAGCTCTTGTCGAGGAGGCATGCATTCCGCGGTACACTGTACTCGGAGGCAGACCCGCTTGATCTGGAGTAGATGGACGCGCGGTCGGAGTCCGAACGCTTCTCCATAATGTTCTCCATGGTCCACACTGGGGACATGATTGAACCTGGTGTGCCCATTGTGGAGGACCTGGAATTAACATAGAAATTATGATTCAGATGAGGTTCTAAGGCAATCAGTGTCCCGCTGATATTTTGCAAGTCAAGCATTGATTGGACGTGGTAAAAAGTATATTTTCAATGGTCTCCAGTTAAATAAATGAACTTACTTTTGCGTCCTAGGGCAAAAGGTACATCTGTGCTAAAAAAGGAATAAGTTTTGAGAAAAGAAGAGGTTTGTCAACATGTTATTAAACCTCTAAAGACTAGATGAAATGATGAGTGGCTTTAATAAGATTGTACATGCAATACATCTTTCGAAGAAGAACATGGTTTGTACAAAACAATACTAATGATTCAGACTATATTTACATTACTCAACATACCTAGTCAAGTGACTGATCTTGCCAATGCAACTGGAGCACCTGGGCAGTGACGTGGGCCGTCGGAACTTGTCTTCGCTGTCCAGGCTGGTGTCGAGGTCGGACAGGCAGTGCATGGTCTGGCTGGCTGGCGCCGCCCAGGACGGAGACACAGACCGCAGCGACGGGTGGAAGCAGTCGTCCATGCAGGAGCTGGTGTCGGAGAAGCGCTTCTCTAGGACTGGAAGGAGAAGGTAGCAGTTAATATAAATTATATTAACATTAAAATTAGTTACTTGTAAATTACTAAGAATCCTGTTAACAAGTGGGCTCATCACAAAGTTGAGCTGCGTCGGGGATTGGACCCCTGTTCCTCGGATCACGAGTTGGTCAGTCTGACACCTTTACCGTTCGGTTACTGTCGCTTTATTGGTGGTTAATCAGAGGGATTTATTTTAATATGATGGTAAGTGAGGTCCACAAATCTAGTGTCAGACTATTAGCTGCTAAACATTGGTTAATGTCAATAGGAACAGCATAACGTATCCTTCAAATCAAGAATTTTATCGGAATAATGGCTTGCGATGTCCTACCATGGCAGCGCAGAGCAGAGGTAAGATTGAAACCAAAGTAAATTGGGTTCACTTGGTCTATCCAAAGAAGACACAGCCTGAAGCAGAGACATCGATTGCTTTGTGTAGTTCTGAAGCTACAGGCATAGTGGTAGGAGGCATAGCAGTTGCTGCCTGCAGCTGCTTTCGATCGTCTTCTAACTCATGCTTTTTAGTCTTTAAAATTACTTTCCTTAGTCCATACGGTGTTTTATAAACAACTTACCAGAACCACTCCTAGAAGCGATGCTAAGCCTGGACTGCGCGTCGTGGCTGTACGCGTTGAGGAGGTCCGTCAGCTCCCTCCCCCCCTCCGCCGCGAACACGAACAGCCCCTCCCCCTTGCCGCAGCGAGACCCCCCCTCCACGCAGAAGCGTTTGTCGACCACGCCGTAGCGTCTGGAAAGATAGAAACGAAGGTTAGTCTCATAAAACTCACTTTATTTTGCAAGTAGACTTTTAAAAAGCACACACTTTCCAGTTTTAACTCTACCACTGCTTCAGGACAATAAATGGGCCAGCTTATTCAATGGTTTACAGTCTTTAAAATATACATAGTTATAAATATTAAAGCGAGCTTAAATGGAGGACTTATCCCACCACAGTTTCCTACCACTGCAACTTGTAAAGCCAGGATCTACAGCTTAGCCTCCAATGAAACCCAACCAGTGAAGATGTGAAACTATCTTCAACCGACTTCAAAAAAGGAGAAGGTTCTCAATTCGACCCGTATGTTTTTTTTCTATGTTTGTTACGCGATAACTCCGCCAATTATGAACCGATTTGAACAAATCTTTTTTCGGCATATAGGTAATACCTCAAGGGTGGTCCCATTTAAATTTAATAATAAAAAAAACAACCCCCAAGGGTGGAAAATTGGGGATGAACTTTTTTATACGCAATATCTCCGCCGATTATAAACCAATTTGAACGATTATTTTTTTGTTGAATAGGTATTATTTGTGTTCACGCATTTGAAGTCGGTTTTTTTTTAAAGTTATCCTATTATTTTAATCTTAGATAGTATGAAATTGAGGTCGGATTTGTGAGGTGTGAGACTTTGAGTTGGAAAGGCTCCTAAGCAAAGTTCAAGGTAATTCTTTTTACGCTAAGTAAGTCTCACACAAGTAGAGACTTACGTAAGTCTCTCTCTTGTTCCATAATATCTCTTATTCCCACTGCTGCAACTGCTGTGTAAATATGACTAAGTATATAACTGCCAATCGTGAAAACTAAGTTCTGGCGTAGTCGGGTAGAAAGGTAGCGACAGAAACTTCAATATTACTGCAGAATTGACTTTCATTAGTTTTCAGTACCTACTTGTTTACGTATTTTTTACTGAAGTCAGTAAATAAATAAAAGTAAATTGAACGAATTCCAGAAATAACTAAAAAAGAAGCTAGCTTTTATACGGTCATAATAATATTGGAATTCCAAGAGACAATAAAATTCCTAGACAATGCTCCACTGAATTCGTTTTATCAAAGCAATAAAAATATACAAATTATGCTCTACGAGTCGTAATTAATATAAGGGCATATTAAATAGTCTTTTTAATTGTAGTAATTGAAATCAACGCACGCGCACACAATTCTTCATCGGGCGAGTTAAGCTGGATAATTGCTGAAGCAGTGTGTAACAGCTTAATCGTTTGTTTACGCACGCCCCGGTGACATTCGCTTAGGGCCTGGGCATATGCTGGTGAGAACAGCCAACTCACCGCGAACGGAGGGATGTTAAGGGTAATATTTTAACGCGTCTTATTATAGCCATCATCATCATTATTTCAGTCATTAGACGTCCACTGCTGAACATAGGCCTCTCTCTATGATGATTTCCAGATTGACCGGGGTCCGGTTGCCTTTCCACAACTATAGGAGGCCTATTCTAGACTCTAGTGTTCACAAGTATTTTGTACCTCTGCCTATTTATTTTGTATTAAAGAATAATCCCGCTAACCCCTTGTGGTAAGTTAAAAATGCTTGTGTTACGATTACGAGTGTCCCGACACCGACAGCATTGGGCGATTGTCGCTTCAATGACTATGTATCATCTGTGACTATGTAGCGGCGATAAATATCTTTCTATGGCTAGGCTTTCGAGCACGCGGCAGGTCGCCCATGCGCTGGACTGACCAGGTCAAAACCGCACTCAATGGTCCACTCCACGAGTGCACAATCGAACGAGGCTGCAGTGCGGGAGGAATGGCGACGGATTGTGAGGCTTGCCAAAGGACCGGGTGTGACGACCACGACCACTCTGGCAAGAGTGTAGCGACGAAGAAGAGAATGGCTAGGCTGTTCTCCCTGAACTGTGTCTTGTTGAGGCCACCCGCATGGCACAAATGAACTTAGATACGTTAATTAGCGAGCACGAACAATAGCCGTGACTCGCGTTCCGAGCAGCCCCAAAGCAGCAGCAAACCCTGGATCTTATGCAGTTGCAATAGGGTTGATTTTGCAACAAAAATGTACAGCATGATGTGCTGGAATTTGTACCTTTGTGCCGTTATCGGGCACGAACTTTCAGCCTTCGTGCGGGACACTTTTGGCAGTTGTTGGATTGTCTTTGAATGGTTGCTTTTATGGAAACCAAAACGGGTGAATTATTAAATTAATGCATTTTAAACCAACTTCAAAAAGGAGGAAATTGACAATACGGTTAGTTATTTTTTCTTTGCTCGGAACCCAACCAGTACTTACCCCGAATAATTGTACACTTACAATTTTATGGAGTCCGATTTCAAAGGCTTTGTTTCGAAGGTTCTTCGGCAAAAACCTCTGGATTTTAACTATAAACTTAAGGAATATTGTCACGAAATTATTTACAAATTAACATGTCAGTTAAAACACCCGAGATTTTCCAAAATGGCTGTAATAATAAACAAGCTCAGTCCTTAGAGTGCACTTATATCGCAATCTTGGAAGTAGACGCGAATAATTTGACCAGAGGTATTTAATTTAACGGGCCCCGAAGGAATCCTACCCACGCCGAACGAAGCTATGTACAGTCAGCACATAAGGCTGTTTTGGTGGCAATATAGAATTTATTTCAACTACATAAGGTGTAGTGTTTACGTTGACGTGCCGTCTGTACCTATATTGCACGACGGTCTTCAGCTATGAGCCTGGTTGTCTATAAGGTTCAGTTTTGGTCAGCTTTCAGTTTGAATAGGAAGTTCCTGAAGAAACGCTACCATGCTTTTTTTACCAAGTGACGATAACAAAACGGCCAGCCACATTTTTAACTAAGGTGCAGAATTTGTGAAGTTAGGACGAGCTTGGCTCTAGATGAGATCTGATAACTTTTTCACGGTACTAACCGAGCATAATAACATTTTACATGAAAATGTCTTTGGTGTGATCACAATGAACTAGAAAGTCATTGGCAGAAGTTATCCATCAGTGCTATTTTTTCGTATTCCTGACAGTAAAATTGATTACTCTATTTTTTGGGGCATCCAACAAAATTGAAAGCTTATCCCAAAGCTCACGTTTTATGTTGTTTATTATATTACGAAAGATTGTCGTTTAAAGGTCGTCAACTCGTAAAGACCAGCAATCTTAAGGAAGGAAAATAAGAAACGATAAATCTCATTTGGAAAACAATCCAGCCGAGGCAAATGGAAACGTTTATAACCTTATTAAGGGCCAAATTGAGGATCGTTTGGGAAAAGTATTCCTCAATCTCCAAGATCCTTATAAATAAGGAGACAGCAATAAACTGACTTTCATCAGAAAGGAAACTCGTCAAGGAATTTATAGATCTTGATGTAAATAAATGCATTTATCACTTCGCAGTAGCTTTTACGGTTCACAATAAAATCTAAATCACACTAAAAGATCTTGAAAGCGTACCATTGTTCCGGCTATAAAACAAAACCGCGGTCCAAAGAAGTTTCCTGCTTTAAAAAGGTTGGATTAGTTTTTATAAGGATATAAAAAGGTGCGATATAAAACCTACCTACTAGCAGCGCGCGCGCACGTGCCAGTAACATAAAAAAAATAATGTTATAATGCAGTTTTTAAAAACAGAACATTGAAATTATGAAATTCAAACGCGATTCATCTTATTCCAAATTCGCTCTTACGTATCTATACTAATATTATAAATGCGAAAGTAACTCTGTCTGTCTGTCTGTCTCTCTTTCACGCCTAAACCACTGAACCGATTTTGTGGCATAGAGATAGTTTGAGTCCCGGGAAAGGACATAGCGTAGTTTTTATCCCGGTTTTTGAAAGAGGAACGCGCGTGATAAAGTTTTTCTGTGACAGATAAAATTCCACGAGGGCGAAGCCGCGGGCGCAAAGCTAGTTCTAAATAACGTTGCAAGTTGCACAGCGATTATCGCGTAGCCGGTCTCGGCGGCATTTACGTAATAATACCACAGGCTATGCATTCGAAAACGGGTCGCTGCAATGAAAAGTCCGTGCGATTCGAACATTGAGTAGGTCTGGTCGTGCATTTCCAATTCGGTTGTGTTATCATTTCGTAGGCGAACCACGTATTTCTTTTACAAGCGCATCTCGAAGACTACAAATGTAGTTCTTCTTAATGCATGTTAAACGTTCTAATAACTGCAATAAAACATGGCTTGATTTATGGCTATTCGATGGAATTGTTGTGTTTCTCGCCTTCTTAAAGATTTTCGAGATGATAAAAGTTTTATGGCCTTTTAGATTAATATAATAACAGCGGGAGGAGTGTTATTCTGGGGGCGTCAAAATGTAATAACATTTATCCGATTCTTGCATTTATATTTTGTTTTGTTTTTTACTTCTAAATTCACAATCGTAATGGATTCATTTATTTGTATGGAACATTTTGTCATTGACATCATGAGATGTTAACATTTTATTTTCCTAAAGCAGTGATAGTAGTTAATATGTACCTAGTAAGAATAATGGTGTAAAAAGTTATATTGGCATATTAAAGTTCTTTTTTACGCTTTTTGAAAGTTCTGCAAAGCCAGCTTATAAAGAAGAGTTTGGTGTTATTTTTTGTAAATTAGGTAGCTACATAAATCAGCAATACAGTTTTCAGTACTTTTAAATAAGCAATATTATTTACAGTCCATTTATTATTCCGACAATGGACGTCTTCAGATTATTCGAAGGCTTTTGACTTTCGTAAATGATTTGTAAATTTTATCAGAAGCGTTTATTAAATCAACTTTAGAGGGCGCTATCGTTCGGCAATGAGCACAGATAACTGAAACGGTCTTGTTCGTCAATTTGAAATAAAAGCCGTAACGCGAGATACCAGATAAGGTGAACAGGCACGGAGTCCGAGTTCTAAGGACTCGGGGCTAAGTGGTAATAAGTAAAAAAAATACGGGATACCGCCAATAAAAACCCAACCAGTGAAGGTTGTCCCGGGGGAAAGTTAAACTGTCATTG